ACCTCTCTTTCCTGGGAACTTACCTAGTGTACTAGTTCACGTTCACGTCACCGTCGCCGCTGGAGCAGCTCTCCGGTCCGCCGTCGTCGGAGAATTCGCTGGAGTTTCATTTTTTTTTACCTAGTGACATATGATTTTGCTTGTCTCGGTCAGGGTTTGTTCTCCCGCTCTTCATGACTTCTTCCACTATTTCCAATTTTGTTAACGATTCTTTTGTGTTGACATCCCATCGTGATGACCGGGCTCGCCCTCGCAAACGAGAAAAAGGGCGTCCTAAGTGTGAATATTGTGGCAAGCTAAGTCACAAGATTAACAAGTGTTATACATTACATGGTCGTCCTCCTCGGTCCGCTGTAGTTGTTCGGACCAATCTTTCCCCACCTTTATCTCGTAGGGATCTTCCTTCTTCCGTTGCATCCGACATGTCTACTATGTTCAACAAATTTCTCGAATGGTATAAGGATCAACAGTCTTCTAGTTCCACTATATCTGTCACACATACAAATACATATTTTCATTGGTCCGACCCAATCATTTTCTCCTGGTCCTTGGGTTTTTGATTCAGGAGCCACCGATCATATTACTCGGTAACAAATCTTTGTTCTCCTCTTTATCCTCTCCTAATCATTTACCTTCTCGTTACACTCGGCGATGGCTCTAGAGTATCATCTCATGGTGTTGGAACGGTTAAACTTTTTCCTTCTTTAACCATTGATAATGTTCTTTATGTCCCCGGGTCTCCTTTTAACCTCGTTGTCCATCAGTCGTCTAACTCGTTCTCTTGATTGTGTTGTTACTTTTACCAACAATTCGGTGTGTTTACAGGATCGGAGTTCGAAACAGGTGATTGGCACAGGATGTGAGTCTCATGGTCTTTATTATCTCCGTCCCTCTACACATGTTAGTACAGCTTATGGAGTCTCCTCTCTTCTTCATGCTCGGTTAGGTCATCCAAGTCTTGCCAAGTTACGAAAACTTGTCCCCGCCTTGTCTAACTTATCTAGTTTGGCGTGTGAGTCATGTCAATTAGGCAAGCATAGTCGTACTTCCTTTCCTCGTAGTTTCACACGTGGTGCTTCGTCCCCTTTGCCGTGGTTCACTCGACATTTGGGGACCTAGCCGCGTTAAGTCTACTTTAGGTTTTCAATACTTTGTTACTTTCATTGATGATTATTCCGGATGCACTTGGTTATTTTTGATGAAAAATCGTTCCGAATTATTTCATATCTTTCAAACTTTTTTTAATGAAATTCAAACTCGGTTCGGTGTTTCTATTAGAGTTTTGCGTAGTGATAATGGCCGTGAATATCTTTCTCATTCTTTTAAACAATTCATGGCTTCTCACGGTATTTTGCATCAAACTTCTTGTGCTTATACACCTCAACAAAATGGTGTAGTCGAACGTAAAAATAGACATCTTATTGAAACAACTCGCACACTTTTAATTCATGGAGATGTTCCTCAACATTTTTGGGGTGATGCTCTTCTTACTGCATGTTATCTCATTAATCGCATGCCTTCTTCGGTTTTAGATAATAAAATACCTCATTCCATTTTATTCCCTCATGAACCACTTCATCCTTTACCTCCGAAAGTTTTCGGTCTACATGTTTTGTTCATAATTTTAGTTCTAGTCTGGACAAGCTTTCTCCTAGATCACATAAATGTGTTTTCTTAGGGTTTACAAGATCACAAAAAGGATACAAATGTTTTTCTCCTTCTCTTAACCGTTATTTTGTGTCAAAAGATGTCACCTTTGATGAGTTGTCTCTTTATTTTAAAAGTCAAACTTCACCTCTGTCTCCATCCAATCTTGTCAACACTCCTAATACATTTAATGTTCCTGTTGTTTGTGACCCTCTAATTGTGTCTTCTTCACCATTAGTTCTCGCTCCGCAGCTTAGCTTCTTCTCCACTCGCCTCTTCGGATTTATAGTTCTCGAAACCAATCACAACCACCACCATGTGACTCTACTCAAGTGCCAACTACTCTGTCTCCTCCGGATCCGACACATGAGTCCGACCTTCCCATTGCCCTCCGAAAAGGTATTCGTTCTACACGTAATCCCTCTCCCCATTATATTGCTTTGAGTTATCATCGATCGTCATTACCTTTTTATACATGTCTTTCCTCTATTTCTTCCGTGACCATTCCAAAATCGTCCGTGAAGCTTTAGCCCATCCTGGTTGGCGTCAGGCCATGTTAGATGAACTAAGTGCTCTTCATAATAGTGGAACTTGGGAATTGGTCCCGTTACCGTCCTGGGAAATCTGTTGTTGGTTGCGAGTGGGTGTTTGCTATCAAAGTTGGACCCGATGGTACTATTGATCGCCTCAAAGCTCGTCTTGTGGCCAAAGGTTATACTCAAATTTTTGGGTTGGATTATGGAGATACCTTTTCCCTCGTGGCAAAGATGGCTTCGTTCGTTTATTTATCGCCATGGTCGCTTCTTCAACAATGGCCTCTTTATCAACTCGGATGTTAAAAATGCTTTCCTCAATGGTGATTTGCAAGAAGAAATATATATGGAGCAACCTCCTGGGTTTGTTGCTCGGGGAGTCTTCCGGGATGGTATGTCGTCTTCGCAAATCCCTATATGGCCTAAAACAGTCTCCTAGGGCTTGGTTTGGAAAGTTTAGCAAGGTTGTTCAACAATTTGGTATGACTCGGTGTGAATCAGATCATTCTGCCTTTTATCGACACTCGAGTGCTTGGATGTGTTTACTTGATAGTATATGTCGATGATATTGTTCTTACAGGTAGTGACAACCATGGCATCTCTCAGTTGAAACAACATCTTTGTCACCATTTTCGGACCAAAGATCTTGGCAAACTTAGATATTTCTTGGGTATTGAGGTAGCACAGTCCAATGATGGTATTGTTATATCTCGGAGGAAGTATGCCATAGATATTTTGGAGGAAACTGGGTTGATGAGTTCAAAGTATGTTGATACACCCATGGATCCCAATACTAAACTTCTACCAAATCGGGGGAGCCTATATCTGATCCTGAGCAAGTATAGAAGATTGGTTGGAAAATTGAATTATCTTACAGCTTACTCGTCCCGACATTTCCTTTGCAATCAGTGTGGTAAGTCAATTTCTTAATTCACCATGTGAAGATCATTGGAATGCAGTCATTCGTATCTTGAAGTATATTAAAGGATCTCCTGGAAAAGGATTGTTATATGCTTCTAATAACCATACAAGAGTTGTTTGCTACTCGGATGTCGATTAGGCAGGATCTCCTTCGGATAGAAGATCTACATCCGGATATTGTGTCTCCATTGGTGGTAACTTGATTTCATGGAAAAGTAAGAAACAAAGTGTTGTGGCAAGATCCAGTGCGAAGCGTGAATATAGAGCTATGGCCTCAGCCTTCCCGTGAACTTGTTTGGCTCAAGCAATTGCTTAGAGAGTTACAATTTGGAGATGTCACTCAAATGACACTTGTGTGTGACAATCAGCTCGCTTCTTCATATTAGTTCTAATCCTCGTCTTTCATGAGAGGACCAAACACATTGAGATTGATCGTCATTTTATTCGAGAAAAGATTATGTCCGGAGATATCAAGACCGAGTTTGTTAACTCAAGTGATCAGCTAGCGAGATATTTTTACTAAATCTTTACTGGGTCCTAGAATTGATTATATTTGTAACAAGCTTGGCACATACGATTTGTATGCTCCGACTTGAGGGGAGTGTTAGATATTGTTTATATATTATTTGATATTGTTAAGATATTGTTAGATATTGGTAACCACAATATCAAACAATATCTTCTGCTTATTCTGTTACTTTCGATTCATCTTTTAGTTGTATATCTCTACTATAAATAGACTACCCTATGTGTGATTTATACACAAGGAAAATTAATTCCAAACCATATTTTCTCTATATTCAACAGTTATTAAATTTTTGAGTAAACTATATATTTAATACAATAATTATCATAAATATTTGTGTTGAGTATAATTAATCTTTTATTAAATTTTTAATCATTATCTCTACAGAAATTGTTAATTTTACGTCACATAGGTAGTTACATGTGATAACAATTCAACCAGAACTTGACGGACTTGACAACTGTGATTGTACATGTTTACCACCAGATTTTTCATGAATCAAACTTTCTTGAAATTAAAATCATGCAAATAAGTAGATACATTACTTAATGGTCAACATAATATAAAACTAACTATTTTTTTTATGTTGCCAATTAAAAATTTAACAGTATAATTGATTTTAAATGAAAAATAAAACAAAATATTTTAATTTTATTAAATACAAATATTTATTATATTTATTGTGTGAAAAACATATTTTACCTTAAATTTTTAATTTTATAATACTGATTTGATAATTTTTGTAAAATGATTTTTTTAATTATATTATTTAATATTTCTAATATATATATTTAATTAATAGAATAATTGAATAAATTAGTTAATAATTATATTATTATTAATAATATTATTAATATTATTTAAATAATTTTAATTAATAAATTGAGGTGGATGTCGAGTTATATATACCAAACTCAACTTTTATAAGAGATTATGATTAGTTTTGGATTGAATTCCTTGGATAGAATTACACAGCATGGTAGTCACGTTACTATTAAATGTATTAGTCAACTACCAAATCCACCAACTTGTGGTACATAATAATAATAATAATAATAATACATGAAATAAAATATTTTGTTGTACATAAATCACTACATAACATAAACAAATACTCAAAATAATATTAAAATCATGGATATATAAGTAATAACTAAAAATATTTTAAATATAATTGTTTAGTACAATTATTATAAAATTTAAATTATAAAAAGATTGTCTAATAAGCATAGTTTAGAAACCCGAGTGTAAAAATGTTTAGATCTTGCAAAAGTTAACGCAAAAACACATGTTGGGGAGGGAAATTTGTCCCCTTCTCAATAATACATCTAGCAAGACCCTCAAACATGTACAACAATGTTTCAAACACAATATTATCTTCTCTTTTTCCCACCCTTTCCAGATTTGTTGGAAGGTCCAGTAGTTGATGTTGATGCAGTCTCCTGCTTCTTGGTCCTTCCATGATGCCTAGGTACCATCTCTGCAACCCGTAACATTAGTTGCTTTCCTGCAAAACAATCACACCAAAAATGAAAACATGAGATTTTTAATAGTCATTGTGTCTACGCAATTATAGGAGGATAATTTTCTCATTAATTTGACATGGGATGTTTACAACAAAAAATAAAAAATAAAATTGCTTCTGTACTGTGAGAGGCATTAGTTTGGATCCAGAATTTGTAAAGGATAATTCATTTTTACAGAGAATTTGATATATTTTATAACAATATATATTGTTTGGAAAGAAAATTTTGAAAGAAATTGAAATTTTCGAATTTCTAAAAGTAATTTGATTACTTAAAATTGGAGAATCTCATATTCCATTTAAAAATAAGAATTTTAAATTCTCCATTTTATCTCCTATCTCAAATTTATATCTCTTCTTATCATATTCTCTCTTTGATTTGGTCTTGAATAGGATATCTTGAAATCTTCTGCTCAACTTCACTCGACATGTCATTGGTTGGTTTGGCATGGATAAGCCTGACTTGAATACGATAAGGCTGGTTTAGGTCAACCATGTCTAGGACGACCTAACATAACCTAACCAGACCTATCTTGGCCTGAACCAACCTAATGCAACCTGCTTTAGAAGACTTGGTTTGTCAAGACCTGCCCTAACTTGATCCATTTTGTCATCCATAACCAGCTTGACCCAAATAAGCTTAACGCATCCCATCCCAAATAAGCTTGTCCTGCACAATGACACGTACCTCGTCATGTCCTAATCCGTTCCAACTTCTCCCGTCGATCCAACTTCTCCCAACCTGTCTTGACCCTACTTGGGACCCAACCAATTTCAGTATGGGTCAATTTCGAAGTTATCAAAGAACTTATTTAACCCATCTTTTAACCACTAACCTCTACAACATATAAATTAAAGTGAACAAAAATTAAAATTATATTCGTCAAATATTAATGCTTTGAGCTGAATATATTTTGTAGTTCTAAAATAAGCAAGAGCTAACAGATCTTAATTGCAAATTTTAAAAATGCCAGTCATATTTATGGATGTGAAGAAATGGAATATATATCAAGACGAATGAATAGAATTATAAGATATATGCCTTTTATAATTATATTGATTCCATGAGATGTTCATTGTGCAATTAAACATTAAAAAAGTTAGTGAGAGTGCAAAGAACATGAGGAACGAAACACCATATGGAGTCCAACTAAGGTTGCCTACCCAACATTTGGGTTAGCGATCAAGTAGTTCAGTTAATTAATTCACTAAACTACATTATTACATAAGCTCAGTTAGTGGACTGTTATGACAAAAAGAAAACCAAAAAATTAAAGAGTAATTTTATTTGTAAATAGTTCAACTATTAATGGTTTAATGCAGTTCAGTTATAGTTTAGTTCACAGTTTATAATTTTCTTAACAGGCCTACGTACTATGAGCACTGAAGTATATTCTTTCATACTGTGTGCTGATACTATAATCTTTTTTAGGTGTTAGTTCTTCTATTATTAACCGAGACACTGGCATCATTCCAGCAAAGCACATCCTCCAGAGCCAGAAGGTTTTGAAGGCAATGCAGATGTTGGGGCTGGTCAAACTCCTCAACTGTGGTTTCCTCGCATTAAGGATGTCGAGGTCAACAGAATTACAGTTAAGGTCAAGAATTTTGATACTTGCTTGATCTACAGACCTCCTCCATGTTCTCACCGCTCAATTTGTAATAACTGTGTGGAAAGGTTTCGTCACCATTGTTTTTGGGTTGGGCAGTGCACTGGGCTGGTAAGTTAGACCTTTTGTTTGACAAAACTAATTTTTAATTGTTAATCTGATCGGCAGAATTTTCTACGCCAGGCATAAACATTGGCTTGGTATCTGGGGTGAGTAGAATCTAATAGATGTGAAATTTGAAGAGATGAATGATCCCTTTTGTAAGCTTGAAACTTGTTGGGATAGTTCATATTTTGTAAATGGGTTGCACTGGAAAATCTAGCATGTTATAGTAATTTGTCAAATTACCAGCATGTTATAGGATTAGTTGCAACAAGAGCAAGACCTGGTGCAATGGAGGACGAGGAACCTCCAATGTAGGTGTACTTTATTAGCCATCCACTTGTCTCTAACGAGTAGAGAATGTAGCGTTGTTATGTCATTGCTAGTGCAAAACATTTTGTAAGTGTCAACAATAGTTAAGATGAAAATTATCAAATATCAAAATAGGATGAAGTGATCAAGAATTGGAGAGGAGATGGAACTTTCTAGTGGGTGAGAAAGAAAGATAAAACTTTTTATCCCACATATCATAGCAATGTTTTAAGCCAACTTGTGAGGCTGGATTAACTTCGCTTGAGATTGGAGCCAAACCAATGATGGATCAAAAACAGTTGATCTTGGAGTTGTGGTGGACCAAGGATAGTTTCACATTGGCAAAAACAATTTCCAATGGTGATGATAGGAAATTCACTTACAGTAACTCGTCACTCATGGCAATGAGAAAGTAGAATCAAGAGGTGAACATTAAAATGAATATGCATGTCTAGCAGTTGAAATCTAGACATATATATAGGTTTAAGTAACCTACCATTTGCCAGGAAATACAGTTTCAATGTCTTCAACCATTTTTGGAACATTGAAAAGGTTTTGGAAAATCAATAGATGATTATAAATTGAAAAACAATTTGATTGAAATGAGTAAACTAACATATTCGTCTCACATTTCTGGTGTTGTTTATTTCCACATATTAGGTATGGTTTTCAGAAGCTAACAGTAATAACTTATGCATCCTACATGTGATTTTCTATTCTCAACATGTTTTTAAACATCCTATAAAAGGGTTCAGCTCAGTTTGAAACATATTTTATTCATAGTTGGACAGATATGTATTGCAAATTATCAACATGACTTGGAAGTTTGCTACAAACTTCTCTTCCAGACCAAGCAGTTCCAAAGTATGAGTTTCGAAACATACCAATTTAAAGTATAGTTACAGCACAGGGATACTAACATAAGGAGATCTGATTCAAAGCAACATACTGATTGAATTTCATTTATATATATATATATATATATATATATATATATATGAGATGAAAAATTAAATCTTACTGGACGAGATTGAGGGATTATAGAGTGTCCCATCCTCCTTCTTCAGCAACACCCTCACCCGCCCTCTTTGCATGAAATCGCGAGGATACGCCTTGTCTATCTGCAATTTTCCATATAATAATAAATTTTGCAGTAATTTAACAGAGGGGAGTGAAAAATAAAAAATTACCTTACCTCAATTGCGAAAGGAAGCTTGAGATAGCTACAGCAATCACCGATTTCGGCACACGTAGGGTTTTCACAAGCTTTGGCGACCACTATGCGTCTTCCTTCAGCCATCGTTTTTTTGGAGTTAATGTAAATAGGATACATCACAATCCATTTTTTTATGTTGGGCAAATCGGTAGCATCCATGGTTGGCAGAATCAAACACTCACTGTAAATAGAATATCATGAGGACATAAAGAATTCCTATGACATAAAATAGTATAGTGTTAAGTTTTTTTTTTTTTTTTTTTTTTTTTTTTTTTTGCATACTCAATGAGTTCTTTACGTTTTCACAAATTATTGACTGTCTGTAACTAGGGTAAATTTTTGCCATAATAACAAATACTAAAGAGAAAAATGTTTTCAAACCAAATCCACATGAATATAAGCATAAGAACAATTCAGCTAGTCTCTGATTCCAAATTTTTGCATTCAGAAGATTTTTAATATTCCAGCTTCACTGTACCACAACACAACATAAACAGTATATTAAGGTGACAGCTAGCCTGATGCATAAAATCAATGCTTGTTACCTGTTTTAAGAAAATCAGAAAAATTCATTTTCTTTATGTACTTATCTAAAATAAACAGCTTTTCATTTATGTTACATTACAGCTAGGTCAAGTGGCCATTAGGCTAAAAAATCAGAGCTTAAAAATGCAATTTGCATATCATATATTGAATGAACATTAATATGAATGTATTACAACATAAATACATATTTACACATAAAAGCTTTCATTGCGTTAAAATTTTTGAAGAAAACAAGATCGTAAGAGAGGGCATGCTTTACGGGATAGAATCAGTGAAAATGAGAGTTAAATTTTATCTTAGATTTTTGTGAATAAAAGGACATTACGCATGGTGGATATTCATAAATTAAAAAAAACAGGAGCTGATTAGTAAAATATGTGAATGCAAGTATTTTGTACAAGTGTCAGTATCAGATACAGATTCAATGCAACTATGATAACAACAACTAGGATTTCCGGTTACATGCCCAGTTTCCGGATCAGATAAAGGAGGAAAGATTGTGTTAGTTGAAAGCCAAAGTGAAACTCATTCAAATGCTGAACATGGATCACTCAATACATCAATAAATCACTAATTTTAGATTATGTATGCATTATATATAGTTTCAAACAAGAATAAAAAAATCTTATAATGATTACATGGGAAGCTCCATGGTCCAAAACAGTTCAACACAGTCCAGATACAATCGTGTACAACTTGTAACAGACAGAACAACAATAAACAAAAAGATAGTTCCACAATCCAATATCCCTAATCAGACTCAAACACCAATTCAAAACCAGAAATGAGGCCAAAGGAGGACCACACCATTCGACTTAAAACAACTACCCCAACCAGAAACTGATGGATCCCAATCAGAAACAAGCAGGAGTAACATATGCGAAATCAAACAAACTAAGTTCACGAGAAACAAGAACCCCAATCAGAAATCCAGTCCCCTATCAGAAACAGGCAAAAATATAAGACAAAAGCAAAAGAGGGCCAAGGCCAGATCCCCTGGCCGAGGGTTGGACCTTCACAGGCGAGTTTGCCCGCGGCGTGGGTTGGCGGCAGGTCTGGGTTCACGTTGAAGGAGGAGTGAACTGAGGTGGCGCGATTACAGGGGTGCAATTGCACTGAAAATGAAATTTGAGAGATAAAAGATAATAAACTCACCACGGCTTAATACGCTTAAGCACAGTGTCCTGGAACTTGAAACTCAGCCTTTCGAACTCTTACCCTTTTCCACCATTTCAGAGAGAACACAAGATTATAACTGTAAATGAAGAACGTGAAGGTGAGTGATACCGCTGAGATGGATATTTTTTATTGCTCGATGAGAAACGACGACGTTCTGCTCCGTAGGGTAGGGCTATGGTGTCACGTGCGTGTACTCGGGTCTCGGATCTCGTAGGTTGGAAGGCCAAATTCCTGAATCGCTTCAAATAATTAAAAATGGGTTGGATCCCATTTGAGACATACAATTGATTTATTTATTTACCAGAGTTTATTAAAAAATGAAAAATATCATTCATTGTTTAGTTAGTTATTTTTTATATTTTACTATTAAAATTTTCAATTTTTATAAATTTTACAAATTCATTAATTTTTTATCAAAAGTGATAATACGATTAAAAATGTAATCATTCTATCATTATTTTTTCATACCATACATTGATATGCCAAGTAAAATTTAAAAAAAAATGATAAATAAATGTGCGATAAAAATGAATGATATAAAACTTGTAAAATGTGTAATTAGGTAAAAAAAAAAACATTTAAAACTAGACCCAAATTTATTCCGATCCGAATATCGATCCGTCAATAAGCACGCTTTTAGAATCTTTACAATGCTTTTTATCCGTATCGGATTATCACGAATAATAGCAAAAAACAAAGCCTCATCTTCTTCTTCTGTATCAAAGCACAATGGATCTCTCGTAGTATTCTCTGCCAACCCAAAAACCACGCCAATCATTAATACACTGTGATGAAAACAGAGCCTCCCATCGCCGTCCGCTTTCACGCCGGCGCAGCTGCACGCTCCGCCGCCGCGCCACCTCGTACTCTCTCTTAACCGTTTAATCTCTCTCGCTCTCTTTATTTTTTTCTTCCAACTGTTTGGTTCTGTTTCAAAAATACTTTCGCTGACTCGCCTAGTGGCTGGTTTTGATTCACGGAATGTGATGTTGTTAGAAGTTCTAGCGATTGTTTAGAAACAAAACGGCAGCGTTTTGCAGTTCTAATGCAGTAACAGGAGTTTTTATTCATTCGCTTGTTGAATATCTTTTGGGCAGATAATATGTTCTTTACTTCATTTGATTGGTTCTGTTTCACCTTAGCTTTGATTCTGACTCATGGAATGTGATGCTGTGAGAACTCTAACTAAAAACCGCTGTGTTTTGCTGTTCGAATGGAGTAACAGTAGTTATTATTCATTCGCTGATTGAGTTACTTTTTGGCAGATAATAACAGTTCAATGTGGAGCGCTGATGACGTGAACGGTGTGCTTGACTGGTTCTTGACTTAGTTCATTACTTTCAGTTAATAGATCAATCAGTCATCAGATTGATTGCTAATCATTCAATAAAAAATATTAATTGCTAATGAGACAGATCGAACCTGTCAGTCCAGATTAGAGAAATATGGTAATAAAAGGCATTCAACTTACCAGCTGTGCATGGTGCCGGTGCCACTTAGCACCCTTAAGTCGTGGGAATTTAAAAGGCCCACTAGTATATTAGTGTGTATTCGGGTCTTTATATTCATCTGTTCATCATGTCTAATGCGACTAGTTGCTTGTACTCGCACGCTTAAGATTAATCAACAGAAAAGAATGAATACAACATGCGTATATATGAAATCAAGAGTCAGGACTAAGGAAGCAACTGGGGAAAATTTTACTTCCAACTAAAATAATAATTAAATGCAATTTAAACTACATAACCTGATTGGCATCTGCATGGGATCTTTTACCCTGCCTTTCACTTTTTGTACACAATCACTGACCAAAGGCATACAAGCCATATAAAAATTATGTGGACGATTTTAGCATTCATTTTGGTGCGTTTGCTTCATTTTTTGCTGTTTTGGGTGAATTCTGGGAAATAGTATATCGTTGAGCTGTCTCTCAGCACTATACTCTGATGTGGCCTGCAAATATAATTTTAGTTGGAAGTGAAAATAATTGGGAATAAAATACAAGGACATACATAGCAGAACTAACAAAACTTATCAAATATAGAAGTATTAAAATTTATAGCTATGAAAAACAACTTGTGTACCCTTTTCTTGAATGAAAATCTCAGTGTTTGAATCTGAGTCCCAGAACAAACTCTTAGGTCAAACCCAAGGGAGTCTACACAAATAAGTTGTGCCTCCTGCAATAAATTGTAATCGTAGTGATTATTGATTGTAGCATATGTGAATGAGCATATGCTCGTGCAGAAGTGCAGTCTAGAAAATGAAACAGATCACAAGGTAATAGACTTCCCAAATGGTTTATCATCGTTTTTATTTTCAAGACACAGATGTCCTTACTCACGGTTTCTCATTTATAAAGATTGTGGTGTGCTACCACCAGTTCCACAATGCCATCTACGGCAGTGAAATGCAGTAGAATTAGAGAGTGCATTAACTTTATGTTCTGCTTGAATCAAACGAGAAAAGTATCAAAGCTTCTAACACAAGCATGCTAAAATTGTTTATAAAACCATTCATTGGTGGCAAATGGCAAGAGATTTAGAGAAAACTTCCCAACAGAAGTGCTATAAAGAAATAATTTTCTATGTATTACCTCCACTTGAATACCCTTGCATCTCCAACACAGGGACTTGAGGGCTTGCAAGGTCTTTTCTCCATCAGCTTTCAAACGAGATATGATTTTCGAAGCAGAGTGTGCAATAGCATCAGGTTGGGCTTTCATGTAGTCTTCTACTTCAAGGACAGTCTGCATAGAATCAGAAGCAAAATTTAATTTCAACCAAAAAGTGTCTAAATAATATACACTTCAAATAATGACACTAAGTTGGATAGGTCTAAATTATGCATATTTAAATTTGGTATAGAAACCAAGGAGTTAGGCACACCTGTTGCTGAACCCCAAGGTTGAATCGTGCAGGTACTGGTTCAGTTTAATCTTGACAGAAACAATCCTCGGTCAGAGGAAAGCTTGGGGCATTATTGGACCAAATCCATGAGAAAAAAAAAAACTTGGGATAGACAATTTTGGTATTATTTCCTCCAGTAAGCCACTACATGGGATTTCTTTTCCTCTAATAAATGCAATGACACGCTATATTTTTAACAATTCTAAGTTTCTAACAAATTAGAGAAATTACAATTTCCTAACTTAACACTATAGAGCACGGGTAACAAACTCTGGTAGATATATCATGATATTATCTATGCTGTTTTTTTATCTACCCACTTCTCTATCAATTATGTAGTTATTCTACCATGCAATAACTAGAAGTATAAGTACAAATTAATCATTTCTGATGAGACATCACTTTTAGTGCTGAAGTTGTTCCGGGAAAAAATTAAAAAATTGTGCCAAATCTCAGGTCAATATCAATAAATTATTGTAAAATCATGTCATGGACTTCCGCTGTATTTTATCTTTTTCTGTAAAATATATCGTTTCTTACCTAACTTAGTTAAGTTACCAAATTGCAAGGTAAAGTACCAGCAAAATTGGACTACAATAATATGAACAAGATGCACGAATTTCTAGTAGTTGTCTCCAAACAATCACTCACAAAAACATACATGTCAGGAAACTTACAGGTTGCCCTTGTGCAGAAAACACTTGAATTTTAATCATCTCCAATTTGTAAAAAGGAGTCTCACTAACGGGGATAATACTATTCCCATTGTTTTCCACCTGCTGTGCCACATCATCTCCAGAAGATCCTGAATTGAGCACATGACCATTAATCACACCAATATTTTCCCCTTTACTATCTATGGATTTATTTGTGTCAGTGTCACTGGATTGACTGGCAGAAAGGTGTTTCTGTATTATAGAATGTTCTTCAACAAAAGCAGCTCTTATAACCCCTTGAATAGCCACACAAGCCGGAGGCTGCTCCATCCAATCAACAGGATCATCTGAAGCAATCTATAATAATAATAATAATGAAGCCAATTGATACCAATTAAACCCAGGGAAGTTTACAATACAAAGGATTTTAGAACGAGGTCTCTCAAAGCCACAACCTAGGTCATTCAAATGCATTCATATAATGAGCACGTTAACATGATATCTACCTCGGCCAACTTTTTGGCAAAGAACACCGGATGAGAAGATTGCATAGTCTCCAATTTTGCCCAGTCTGCAAGTGCTTCATCGTCCTCTTGCTCCTCATCATCCGAAAAAACAGCCACCCATTCCTGTAAACAATAATATGCAAATAATGAATAAGCTTTCCATTGATGATGTGTATAGTTCAGAAATAAATACATAAGCCCCAAAATTATATAAAAAAATCAAACCGAATCATAATCTTCATTCTCTTCTTCAGTGATGTCTTCATCTTCTTCATCACTGTCATCTAAATCCTCAGTATCTTCATCATCAATTTCTTCAATCCCAAAGTCAATTTCCGAAGGACCAGATAAGTCCATCTCGGAGATCATTTCCATGGAATTAATACCAACAATGACTTGCTATAAGATGCAGAACAAACAATCCATAAATCACACATTATTACACGTCATAAGACGCTAACTTTGCAATTATGCAACAGAATTGGAGAATTAAATGAAAGATGAAAAGTGAGCTAAAAAGGCATCACACAAATGATGTAAAAGGATTGGTTGTTTGTGCTTCAAATGGTATAATAAGACACAACCAGCAAGTAGTGTAGAATATAAACAGATTGTTGAAGCCCAAAGGTTAACAAATTAATTAATTGCATTTTAAATGGTGCGAACAGAATGATCTCTGACAAATTGCAAGAAATTTTAGTAATTTCTAGTTCAAAAAATGGCTTTCGTAAAAATCAGGTGATCAAATTTAAGTAAAATGAAGGTTTCAACTAAATAGATGTTTACAAAAACAGCATGCCAGAACACTTAAAGTTCAGCTGATTGTAACTATTTAATTCATGGCATTATCTAAAATGTGTCATGGTCATACCACAAAATTATTTTCTGAAGTTAGGGACTGCAGAACATCTTCACCATTCTTCACTTGAAAGTATATATCTGCAATGCTTATAGAATTTAATTATGTGGATGAAGCTTCGCAAGCACACAAAAATTAATACACAATAAATGCCAATCATACAACCGTCACTTACTTCCATGCTGATCAGTCAAATAAGGCAAATCTGGCCAAAGAATATTTTCATGAAATTCATCACTAATCAAACTTGAAAACATCAGTGTTGCTCTGCTGTTAACCTAAAAATGATATACCACAAACATCATTAGCTAGCATTTGTAGTTGTGATGATAAGAATAAATGCAACCCCAGTTCAAGTTTTTGCTACAAGGGATAAAGGATCCAAGGCTCAGTCTGTTACAATTTAATATAACACGCAAAGTACTACCACACAATTTCTTCTATAATTAAAGAATTTAATAGAATAGAATAGAATATTAACATACGTTTGGCATTAGCTTTTCAAAGATCAATTCAGGTATGATGAGTTCAATGATTTTGATTGGAATGAAATGAAATGATAATTCTGTTAACAAACTTCTATAACTTTGATAATTTTCATATCAAAATTTTCCAGCTATTTTTCCAAGGTTTTGCAAGAAACCTTGTCATGTTCTGTACTTTCCATAAATCAAAACAAACACAGGCAGCAGAAAAAAAAAAATATTACGGAGCAGTTCTCTCCGAATGTTGAATTAACACCTAGGTCCAAAACAAAAAATAATACCTCCCAAAAGATAATTTATTCTATTATTTTATCTGGTAACTAACTACATAGTCAATGTAAACTTCAAAACAAAATTATTGATTCCTTATTTTCAATTTTTATATACATTTCAAACCTAAAGAAGAGAACAGAATACTTTTCTAAATTGAAAGGGAGACACTGACTCTTTGTTATGACATCTAAATCTACCATCATTAATTTCTTCATATAAGAAGATTACAGGTTTTGGTACATGGATATTCTCTAGCAATCGTTTAATCCAAACAGTATGTTCTTCCTTCTCTGTCGTGCAATATAGCACTAAAATGAGAAAAACCTAAGTTTACCAAATTAGCAAAATTAATACAACTGAGTACCTCAACAATTGTTCTACTTGTTTCTGCAGCGGTAAGTGTAGCATCTTCACTATTTTCTGATGTTGACACAGCAAGTTCTTCAAATGGATGATAGGATGGCTTCTCATTTTTCTTTACAGGATCCTGGGCTGATCCCAGATGCTCTGATGATGCCCTAATTCGATTCTTTACAAATTTGTTTCTTCTTGTGAATGGAGTGCCTGTGTATATTTTACTTCTTACCCTGTGTAATTATATTCATTCATTATATACTTCCTCTAAAAGGGTTTGGTAAGACATGAAAGTTAGCCAAAATTTTCAAAATAAGCATTACAGATAAAACAGGAAATTACAAAATTTACATTTTCTGAAATCATCCACACACTTTGCCAGAAGTCTGTCAGATTAAAGAAATATAAAAGTTTTGAAAGTATGCTGCTTTAAGGAACTGCATCTGACATTGCTTTAAGACATGCACCCATCAGTTCTCCACAAACAATTGAAGAACAACAGTTTATCCATCAAGCAAACCAGCCTCCCCAATTTTCCGCTATATAGCTTTCTCATGAAAACTGTATTTTACCTTCCTTTACATTAATGGCCAACAGTCCATCCAACTGAATATTAATACTAGACATATCATTCGGCATCAAATGAGGAAGTAGAAAAATTTTCAATCCCCATAAAAGTTGAAAAACAATAATAATTCATAGCGAACAGCATTAACACTAGACATTTTCCCATTCACATATCTTTTCATGTGTAAGCTATTATCTTGAAGTATAGTAATCCTATCTATTTTACCCTACCAAAGAATTCTTTAAAAATAAAATTGAAACACATTACACCAATTGCTATTCAAGTATTACTATTGTCTTTCGCATGTTGGATTGACAATCATGCATATTTCAGAAGAACATCAAGAAAGGGCAACTGTAGTGCTTTTGACCTCTAGATCTAGCATAAAAGCTAGTATGAACAACACAAATGATAGCAGTTGCATAGCAATTTCAGTGAAAGGGAAAGTTTCAATTATCTCGAAATAACACAACACAAGCATAAATAGATTGAAAGCAAAAATCATTATGGATTAGATTATAAAAATTGAATATTTGTGAACACTGGTTATTATTTGAATATAAGTGAATAAGATAAAATCAATTTTTTCAATTGATCCAAATACTTATGGGTGAAGACATTATCTCAGTGGATCTTATTGAGTTTCATTCCAAAGAGTTTTGACCGTCAAGTTTAATTTCAATACACTATTTCAAATACGTTTCATGGTCAACCAATAAGATATCATCTTTGATAAAGTAACTATTACAAAAGTCATTACTACAGAAGTCAACAAATTTGCAATTATACAACAATCCATGATTGGATAGGATCTATATCATCTATATCATTATTATATAAATCACCATCATTATCTAAAGGAAAATTCATTTTTTATAAATGTTTTTGGTGTACAAAATGTTTGTCCGATTTTACTCTTACTATAAAATAAGATAGTAACATTATAGTAGCTGTTTTTATTTGTAATAACTGACATGTTGTTAGATAACTGTTTTTTTAAATGTGTAATTAAATCATTTGAGGTCTCCACATTAGAAGCATCCTTCCACAATTATCCATTACTTTGGTAACCTTGCCATAAATAACTACTTAACTAACTTCCACAATTCGATTCCCTACATCGTAATAATTATAATATAGGAAAATCGGCATACCGAGGCAGATAAAAACCACAGCTGCAAGCGAGCCGGCACGACGCAACATTACGCACACCGTTCACGTCATCAGCGCTCCACATTGAACGGTTATTATCTGCCAAAAAGTAACTCAATCAGCGAATGAATAATAACTACTGTTACTCCATTCGAACAGCAAAACACAGCAGTTTTTATTTAGAGTTCTCACAGCATCACATTCCATGAATCAGAATCAGAGCTAAGGTGAAACAGAACCAATCAAATGAAGTAAAGAACATATTATCTGCCCAAAATATATTCAACAAGCGAATGAATAAAAACTCCTGTTACTGCATTAGAACTGCAAAACGCCGCCGTTTTGTTTCTAAACAATCGCTAGAACTTCTAACAACATCACATTCCGTGAATCAAAACCAGCCGCTAGGCGAGTCAGCGAAAGCATTTTTGAAACAGAACCAAACAGTTGGAAGAAAAATAGAGAGAGCGAGAGAGATTGAACGGTTAAGAGAGAGTACGAGGTGGCGCGACGGCGGAGCGTGCAGCTGCGCCGGCGTGAAAGCGGACGGCGATGGGAGGCTCCATTATCATCATAGTGTATTAATGATTGGCGTGGTTTTTTCGTTGGCAGAGAATATTATGAGAGATCCATAGTGCTTTGATACAGAAGAAGATGAGGCTTTGTTTTTTGCTATTGTTCGTGATAATCCGATACGGATAAACAGCATTGTAAAGATTCTGAAAGCGTGCTTTATTGACGGGTCGATATTCGGATCGGAATAAATTTGGGTCTAGTTTTAAACGGTTTTTTTACCTAATTACATATTTTACAAGTTTTATCATTCATTTTTACGCACATTTATTTATCATTATTTTTTATTTTATTAAATTTTACTTAGCATAACAATGTATGTTATGAAAAAATAATGATAGAATGATTACATTTTTAATCGTATTATCACTTTAATAAAAAAATTAATGAATTTGTAAATTTTATAAAAATTGAAAACTTTAATAGTAAAATATAAAAATTAACTAACTAAAAATGAATGATGTTTTTCATTTTTTAATAAACTCTGGTAAATAAATAAATCAATTGTATGTCTCAAATGGGATCCAACCCATTTTTAATTATTTGAAGCAGTTCAGGAATTTGGCCTATCCAACCTACGAGATCCGAGACCCGAGTATACGCACGTGACACCATAGCCCTACCCTACTGAGCAGAACGTCGTCTTTTCTCATCGAGCAATAAAAAATATCCATCTGAAACTCTTTACCTATCACTCACCTTCAAGTTCTTCGTTTACAGTTATAATCTTGTGTTCTCTCTGAAATGGTGGAAAAGGGTAAGAGTTCGAAAGGCTGAGTTTCAAGTTCCAGGACACTGTGCTCAAGCGTATTAAGCCGTGGTGAGTTTATTATCTTTTATCTCTCAAATTTCATTTTCAGTGCAATTGCACCCCTGGAATCGCGACACCTCCAGTTCACTCCTCCTTCATCGTGAACCCAGACCTGCCGCCAACCCACGCCGCGGGCAAACTCGCCCGTGAAGGTCCAACCCTGGGCCAGTGGATCTGGCCTTGGCCCACTTTTGTCTTATATTTTTGCCGGTTTCTGATAGGGGATTGCATTTCTGATTGGGGTTCTTGTTTCTCGTGACATAGTTTGTTTGATTTCGCATATGTTACTCCTGCTTGTTTCTGATTGGGGTTCATCAGTTTCTGGTTGGGGTAGTTGTTTTAAGTCGAATGGTGTGGTCCTCCTCTGGCCTCATTTCTGGTTTGGAATTGGTGTTTGAGTCTGATTAGGGATATTGGATTGTGGAACTATCTTTTTGTTTATTGTTGTTCTGTCTGTTACGAGTTGTACAAGATTGTATCTGGACTGTGTTGAACTGTTTTGGACCCTGGAGCTTCCCTTGTAATCATTATAAGATTTTCTTATTCTTGTTTGGAACTATATATAATGCGTACATAATCTAAAATTAGTGATTTATTGATGTATTGAGTGATCCATGTTCAGCATTTGAATGAGTTTCACTTTGGCTTTCAACTAACACAATTTTTCCTCTTTTATCTTATCCGGAAACTGGGCATGTTACCGGAAATCCTAGTTGTTGTTATCATAGTTGCATTGAATCTGTATCTGATACTGACACTTGTACAATATACTTGCATTCTCATATTTTACTACTCAGCTCCTTTTTTTTTTAATTTATGATTATCCAGCATGCGTAATGTCCTTTTATTCACAAAAATCTAAGATAAAATTTAACTCTCATTCTCACTTATTCTCTCCCGTAAAGCATGCCCTCTCTTACAATCTTGTTTTCTTCAAAAAATTTAACAAAATGACAGCTTTTATGTGTAAATATGTATTTATGTTGTAATACATTCATAATACCTGGTAATGAGATCTTTGTTTAGCAGGTAACATAGATTGATGTTCATTCAATATGTGATATGCAAATTGCATTTTTAAGCTCTGATTTTTTTGCCTAATGGCCACTTGACCTAGCTGTAATGTAACATAAATGAAAAGCTGTTTATTTTAGATAAGTACATAAAGAAAATGAATTTTTCTGATTTTCTTAAGACAGGTAACAAGCATTGATTTTATGTATCAGGCTTGTTGTCACCTTAATATACAGTTTATGATGTGTTGTGGTACAGTGAAGCTGGAATATTAAAAATGTTCTGAATGCAAAAATTGGAATCAGAGAATTCATGTCTATGAAAGCATTTTTCTCTAGTATTTGTTGTTAAGGCAAAAATTTCCCATAGTTGCAGGCAGTCAATAACTTGTGAAAGCATAAAGAACTCATTGAGGATGCAAAAAAAAAAAAAAATCTTAACACTACTATTTTATGTCATAGGAATTCTTTATGTCCTCATGATATTCTGTTTTCCATTTTAAAGTTGTTCAGGTTCTCAAGATGCTTGCAATGACAGATTCTCCTCTATTTATTGCTAATACATTTGAAGCAATTAAAATACCAGCAAGTATACAAGGCACTGTGGTGAAGATACTAAGGACTATGATTATTTTATTTCTTGAAACCAAAATTTTCAGATGACATAATTTTAATATCAAAAGTTTTAGCTTTAGGAAATGAAACACCAGTTGAACTCATCTAAATTTCATTTTCTAATATCAGGTGTGTGCTGCTAAAGGTCCAAGACTAAGATATCCCCGAGTTTGGAAGACTCATAAAAGAATTGGGACCATTTCTAAGGCTGATAAGCTTGTTAAGTCTGTAAGTACTTTCTTATAGCATTCTCTCTATTACTTGAGAGATAATAGAGGACATATTGAGCATAAAACCATGTGTTAGATTACACCATGGATGCTTGATTATACAGGCTTATTTCATTCATTACACATGATTAGAGGATATTTTGTTTCCCCTAAAGGAGATATTCATGCCTATAAACTAATTTATTGTAATAACATTTAAAATATTATGATTTGATTCTCAGTGTATAAGTCATATTTGCCGAACTTGTTACAAATATAATTAATTCATGGTCCCCCTAGGAATTTTGTAATGACATTTGCCAACTTATCAGAAAATTTGACAAAACTTTTCATAATGTCCCCAAACTTAATCTTTTTCCTCTGAAGAAATGACAATCAAGTTCAATTTGGTTCTATCATGAAATATTAGATTTGAAACAATATGAAAAAACAACTTGCTCATCACAAATGAGTGTTATCTGATTAGTATCTTCAAAATTGAGATAGTTGTTTCAACCACGAGTTCACATGTTACTAATGCCATGGCTTTGTATTCTATTTCAGCAGTTGACCTCGCTACCACATTTGTTTCTTACTCTTCAAAAATATCAGATTGCTACCAATCAAAATGTGGGTCACTTGAGGCTAGGTGAACCAACCCAATCAACATCAAAATATCCAACAATTTTAGAATGTCTCGTCTTCATAAATTAGGCTTTTCTTGGGAATCTTTTAACATACTTAAAAATCTGAATAACTGCATCCCAAAGGTCTTAATAAGGTGGATTAAGGAACTGACTGATCACACTCACTTCAAAAGCAATATCTAGATGAGTGACAGTGAGATAATTTAGTGTCCAACTAGCCTTCTTTATCCCACAGGATCCGTTAATGGCTCCCCTGATCATTTAGAAACTATAAATTCAAGTCCATAGGAGTGTCTACTGGCTTGACATTGAGAAGTACAGTTTCTTCCAAGTGATCAAGTGCATACTTCCGCTGGAAAATCACCAAATCATCCTTGGATTGAGCAATTTTGATACCTAGAAAAAGCCTACCATGGTCCTTAGTCTGGAACTATTGACAAAGATACCATTGCAAGCTACTTAACTTGTTGATCACTCCCGTAATGACATTATCATGTACATAGGAGATGAATGTTCCTACATTGGAGCCTCTGATTGTGCAATCCCTTTAAACATATCAATGTCAATCTTGACCTACTGATCCTCTCACACGAGCTCCTAAGGCAGTTGCTGATGCTATAGTAGTGGCCATAAAAGACTCTTATCATTGTCATCATCTATACAAGATTAAATCCATTCTCCTGAATTTTCCCCAAATGCACTGGCCCTAGCACATTTTTTTTCCCAGATGCACCAGTCACAGCTTTTTTCAGATTCACTGGGCTTGACATTTTCTCAAATTTTATGTTTTATTATTTTTTATTCCGTGGTGAAATAAACTATTTTCTTGGAACATTTTTTCACCCCAAATAAAAATATAAAACAGAAAAAATTGAGATAAAGTCAGTCTAATTTAGAAAATGTTGGGGCCAATGCATCTAGGACAAAGCCGGTGAACAATAACTTCGAATTAGAGTGACAAACAAAATTAGGCACAAAAGAGAGGTGACTATTCAGAGTTTATAAAATCATGTATGAAAATACACCACAGATGCATGATTATATAGGCTTATTGTATTGATTAGCATAATTAAATTAGAGGATATTTTGTTTCCCCTAAATAAGATAATCATGTCTATAAACTAAATTTATTACAAGAAGATTCAGAATATTATGATTGGATTCTAAACACCCTCTATTCATTCCTGTCAGAAATAACCTGATAATATAAGCTTCAGTTTTGTTTTCTCTTGGATGTTGTGGCCTTCTCATGTTGTTTTTAATTTCTGAAAAAGTAGTTTTTCTAATGTCTTATGCAGAAATAACCTGATAATTTAAGCTTCAGTTTTGTTTTCTCTTGGATGTTGTGGCCTTCTCATGTAATGCAGAAACTTTTATACTTTTTTTCTGGGTTGTTTTTTATTTCTGCAAAAGTAGTTTTTCTAATGTCTTATGCAGATTAAGGAACTGTCAAATGTAAAAGAAGAAGTTTATGGAGCTCTTGATGCCTATGTTGCTTGGGAATTAGAGTTTGTTAGACAAATGACATCTAGAGGGAGGTGAATAGATGCACAAATTGAAATAAATGTCAAATTAAAAATTTATTTATTTAAGATGTCAAATAATTTGTTAATTCATTTTTAATTATCAGATAAAATACAGATATAGCGGAAGCAATATAATTAGAGATAAAGAGAAGGAAATAAGTAGATGTTATCAAAGAGGTATAAGGAAAAGAAAAACACATAATAATTTATACTGATTCGGGTATAGACAACCTTACATTCACTTCTCAGTCACCTCTAACACAAGAGTGACCCCAATTTACTATCTTTAAAATTCAGTTTACAAATTACAATCAACTTAGCAGGAGAACCAGTAAAGAGTAAACTAATTAAAAAGATAATCACCTCCTTAGAAACTCACTAAGGATGAACACCTCCCTAGAATCCCATTAGGGATGAATACCTCCTTTGAATAAATGAAAGGATGAAAAACATCTCATTTGCCACCAACACACAAAGGATGAACACTTCCCTAGAATCTAGGGATGAATACCTCCCTGAACAAATCAAAGGGATGAAAACACCTCCTTAGAATCCCACTAAAGATGAACATCTCCCCGAACAAATCAAATGGATAAAAACACCTCCTTAAAATCCCACTAAGGATGAACACCTCCCTGAACAAATCAAAGGGATGAAAACACCTCTTTAGAATCTCACTAAGGATGAACACCTCCCCTGAACAAATCAAGGGATGAACAACAACCACTTAAACCCTAAAAAGGGGATTTAACAGCAACCACTTAAACCCTAAAAAGGGAATTTAAGGACAACTACCTAAACCCTAAACAGGGAATTTAACATAAACTTTCTAAACCCTGAAAAAGGGAAAGTAATAAAATAAGAACAGTCACACCTAGGTAATGGAGACAACAAATTGTAGAAGTATGTAGAATGTCAATCTCCAAGAACAAGTGTGATTAACAATGAAAGTATATAAGGCAATATGAAAAAAATTTCTTAGAAACCTAAAAGTATTTTGTTGTTTTGCTTAGAATTCTTTTCTCAAAATTGATTGAATGTAAATTGTATTTTCGAATTCTATAATTGTGTTTTTTTTTTCATCAAAACTCATTTAAAATAGGAAAATAGCATAAAAGAATAGTCATTGGTCATTAATAATTTCATAGAGAAAAATTAGGATGTATTAAAAAACATTTATTCTTCAAAACGGATATATTTTTCAAATTTGAACTGCTATAATCGATTATGTTACCAGTATAATCAATTATGATAGAGAGAAAATCGTTTTTCTATTTCTAATGCATCATAATCAATTATGACAGTGAAAAATGTCATGTTACGAAATTTTATCACACTTGTGCTTTAGAGGCTTATGCATAATATCACTCCATCAACTTGTACCTCCATATCCAGTATTCTAAGACTCTATCTAGTCTTCAGGAATCATCTTGGGCTTGCTTGAATCTTGAATGTTGTTGACTTGAATCACCATCAAAATTACCTCTTGAGAATATAGGGACATGTTTCACATTACCATCAATCTTCCCCTCGTGTTTTCAGTTCTAGGGCAATCCAACGGGCCATGTAGTACCTTAAGCTAGAACCTTCTTTTCTTACATGAGATTTCACATTGTCATCAATCTCTCCCTCGTTGTTTTTAGAGTTCCCTTTAATTACAGTGAAAAAGGCACTCAAGACCCTAGAATTGGAACAAGAGTGGAAGTGGGTAATACAGGTACTTCTAAAATAGCAATGTAACATGATATTTTTAAATATTCTTTGTTTTGTATACATTCCATCTAGGGATAGCCTTTGAACTAACATCCGGTTACATTAATTAATGCTTTAGTACTTGATGACCGACTTGAGGAAGCTGAAGAAATTTGGACAAAGTTATTAATGCAGTATATGGAAAGTTTACCTCGTAGATTTTTCGATAAAATGATATCTCTCTACCATAAGAGGGGCATGCGTGAAAAGATGTTTGAGGTATTATGATTTGCCACGCTATTAATTTATACTATTTACTCAGTAACATTGCTGAGTAGTATTTGTCAACTAAACATGTCCCTATATTAATATGACTAGAAGATACTTTATTTGAAGGTACTTCAGACCTAACACGTTATGGATATTCACTTCTTGATTTCTCGTGTAGATATTTGCAGACATGGAAGAACTTGCTATGCGACATAGTATTTCTACTGTCAAAATGATTGGAGAAGCCTTCAAAGAGCTGGGTATGCTAGACAAATACCAGAGGTTACATGCAAAATATCCACCACCACAATGGGAATACAGATACAGCAGAGGAAAACGTATAAGAGTCAAAGTGCAAGTTCAATCTAGACAGGTCAACACATACACCCAAAGGCTTGAGAATGTTGAACCAGACTCGGACTAACAATAATTATGGTTCTTCTGGAAAGACTTCAGCGATAATTGAAGACCGGCAACACAGACAGGAAAATGATGTAATGTCCATGGAACCTGAACAAATTTCAGACATAAACGAGAATTTTAGATCTGAAGAGACTTCAGAGATAATTGATGATCAGCAACTCAGGCAGGATGCCGATGTAACATTCATGGAACTTGAACAAATTTTAGACGACTCATATGACAGTAAGGAACCTATTTTAGATGTATAATGAGAGAAAGATGTTATAACACCTCTATCAGATGAATTTCTGTTGGCAATTAAATGTTAATCATTAGTTGGAATCATGTTTCCATGTCCATCTCCTACAAGTTGTGCGGAGGTTAAAGTGAAGACACTCTGGAAGTAGAACAAGCAAATGATGCTTTTAATTTTTCAGAATGTGAGATTGAGAATCTGCTAATGGTCGTTTCATTTGAGGATAACAAATACATCCCTTAACATGCCTGCAATGAAACAACTCAGACATCCTTCAATCAAGAAGCCAAAGAGTCGAGGATCTACCAAGCCAGTATCAATGCATAAATAAAAGTGGTGCTATACCTTTAAAATTTCCTAGATGCATAACTTTATATCGAGATTGGGTTACTTTTGTGCATTAAGAGACTTTGATTAAGCTATTATGCAGGTTGCTGTTATGTTGTTGCTCATTTGTATATTATTTAAGTTCTAATTTATGGATAACTTTCAAAATCTAGACAACCACGTGGCTTGATAGTCTTGGACCATTGGTTGCATAAATTTGTCTACCGTAGTTCAATTTTCCTTGTTTTTTTGTCCTCGTACTCTACTACCCATCTTGTCTATCGATTACACGTCATGTGATTTTTTTTTTTTTCTATAAACTTAGTTATCCATAAGTCAAAAGACATTCTTGAAAAAGGTAATATATTTTATTTTATTCGTGAGATTGTGATTATTGTAGTTGGTATGAGGGCATTTTGTATACTACGGGAATTAAATGCAACATTCTGAACTGTGTGAATGTAGGTGTTATGTTGAAAAAAAAAACAATGAAATACCTTTTATAAATTAGTTTGTGTACAGTTTTATTTATATTTACTGAAAAGGAGACCATTTAAGATTTTCATGCAGAAATAGTAACGAAGATGAAATTTCTTATGAACTTTATATTAAGTTAGGTTACTCATGTTTGCATGACGTAACCATGAATCAGATTTGGCTATTATATGCACAATTTTTTTTCCTTCATATAACTACTCTATATTTTTATTTAATAATAGAATAATTATAAACATAAAATTAAAAACTTTTAAATATGTAGCTGATTCACTGGCTTGACATGCATCTGCTACTCAAGGGTTTAGTCATTTTGGAAGATTTATCATCTCTTTTTTAGTTCTTTGGTTTTGGTTGATGCTATTGGCATCCCCCACCTGAGAAGTTACTCATTTAGTTTAACTTATATTTTTCCATCCTTCATTCTTTCGGCATCAACATTTGGGTTTCAAATTTAATGATTTTCAAGGAACGAAATTCATTGGGGAATGGTAGCATATTTTTAATGATGCTATCAGCATTGCTTATGTGAAAAAAATATTACAAATTTCTACATAAATTCTGTCTAAAAGAGAAATAATGCAATTAACTTTTTTTTATAAATTAAAATTAGTTTATGAATGAATTGATTTATAAAAAATTTCTAATATAACTTTTCTATAAAAAAAAATTGACTTGCGTATGATTTGATTTTAATTTATGGAGAAATTAATTTATGTATTTTTTTCTTATATTTTCTTTTATGATAAAGTTTGTCCATGCCTTTAACACAATTTTATTTTAGTATTTAAATACATCTTCCAAACAATTTAATAAATATTGATATAAAAGGTGGAGAAAAATATATATTTTTATACATGTGTAGGTTTATAGATAGAGTTTGTCAAAACAAAATATTGATAGGCCAAACTGATATATTTTTAATTTAGTCTGATTTTATATTGGATTAATGGGTTAATTTTGATCTAATTAAAAATTTAAAAATAATTAACATATTTATACCAAAATGATTTGTTAAAAACATTTAAATAAAAAATATAATTTTATTTAAGATATAATTATTTAATATATAAATTATAAGATAATAGATTTATTTAATCTTAAAATAAGACTTAAAATCTTATTCTTCGTTATTATTTATTTTTTAATAATTTATTTATTTAAAATAATTTAATTATTCTTAATCATTAGATCTTAGAATAAGTAATGATAAAAAAATTATTTTAATATTTATTTTTAGAATAAGAAAATTTCTTATCAAATTAATTTATAATATATATTTTTAATAAAATAAAATTATTTTTATTTTTATTTAAATAATAATAATAATAATAATAATAATAATAATAATAATAATTATTATTATTATTATTATTATTATTATTATTATTATTATTATTATATAAAACATATCAGTAAGCTTACGTATTAATCTTATCTAAGTCTATATAAGTTATAGTCTAAATTGACAAAATAAAAATAGATTTAATTTAATTTAGATTATAAATATTTTGACTTAACTTTGTCTTTTTTTTCAAATATTTTGAGAAATTTACAGAGTTAAGTCTCTATTAACATCTTTGTTTATTAATAATTTATCAAGATAAAAAAATCTAATTAGCATGTCCCATGTTATCTTTGGTGGAAATTTGTGTAATCATTTGTTTCAAATAAATGTAATGATAAAAGATATGCTCCTCTTCTTGTTCATTTTTTTTTATCAAAATAAATATAAATCTTTAAACATATTTAACATGTGAGCTTCGTGGAATTGCCACATAGAATACTAAATCATGGTGTCTTTATTCAGCATAAGAAAATTCCCATATACAAAATATTCGGTATAACATTTTGGTTGCAAATTTCCAAACTAATTTTTGCACCCCAAATAACATTTTTGTTGACAAAAATATTACTTTATTACTTTATTTTTTTATTTGTTAAACTCATAATTGGTATATTTTAATTCCTTTTACTTTTTTTCTAATTTGAAATTTATTTGAATCCTAAAATGGGATAAAATTGAATTTCAATTAAAGACTCTATCATGAAAATCTTGGCCCGTGACAATAGAAAAGGAAGATTTATGAAATAAGGAAAGCATGTGTCTTGACTAAACATGATTCATATCTTGGATGCTCATAATTATTATCCAAATTTGATTAATTCTCAAATCTTATCAAACATAATTAAGAAAAAACAAATATTGTAATAAATGTTCTTTCAATATATATATACCTTACTGGATAATCTTGAAACAAAATTTATTAGACTTCGTCATATCCGAAAGTTGAATGAAGATAGTATTGGTTTTTCTAAGATTTTTTTGTGAGTGCTTAAATGCGTCAAAGCTATTTTAGGATATTTTTTATGGATAAAAGAAGGGTACTTAAGAGAAACACTTGGAAAGAAAGCGTATAAAGGGTTCCATGAGAAATTTTAAAATTTAAAAAAATCATAGAAGTATTACATGAACGATTATTTTGGTTACATATGTTTGGACTCTGAAAACCTTAAAAGTATTGTATGGACATTCTTTCAATTATATATGAGAAAATATGTCCAACTTTTTTGTGAAAAAGTTCATAACATTAGAAAGGTTATGTCTAAGGTTCAATCCTAAGGACATTATACTCCTGTTTGTAACCTTAACTCATCTATATAAATATTTCAATGAATTTTAAATTTTGTATTTGAGATTTTAAGATTGAGAAAATACAAAATTCAATATTTGATATTATGGCAAATTTATTTTATTTAATGATACAAGCTTGATGATACATGTTATATTGCAAATCTCTTTTTTTTTTTAAATTGGTAAACCATACGAACTTCGTAAAAGTATTATGTTTGATAAAGATTTAAAGTTTTGAGTTACTTTTAATGGCCTTATGAGAAAACTTGAGATTAAAAGAAACATAGTTTATAAAAGATTTGTAAAATAAAGTGAAAGTTCAAATGGAGAAAAAGGTTAATTAATATGTCATGTTTGCTAAAGGAAGGAAGAATGTCTTTTTTTTTTAACCTAGAGAATGGATTTGATTTCATTTGAGAAAATAAAGATTTCTCTCTCAAAGGAAGTCGAAACTTTAACCAACACATGATGCACCTTTCTAAGTCTTAGAAAGAACAAATAACAATATATGTAATTTAGACTTAGGGATGACAATTAAACATGTATCTCAGGGACCAGATTTAACGGGAAAAAACTGAGTTGACCGAGGATGAAGGCGGATTCGATTTTTTTCTCGCTTTCAAAAATCAGGCGCGAGGGCGGGAATGAGTAATGCAATCCCCACCCCTACTCCATCCACGTTCTCATCTCGACTTTATATTTAAATTTAAATTTTAAAATATTAATGTTTTAAAAGTATTTTTTTATTTTTTTCATTATCATTCTTTTTATATTTAACAATTTTTTACTTTTCTTTTACTTATTTTTTAATTCTTTTGTCTTTTTTAATATTTTATATCAATTAGTTCATTATATTTCCTTTCTCTTCTCTTTCACTTTTCAACATTTCCTTAATCTCTTCAATCAATTTGTTTTTTTCAATCTTTTTAATCAATTTGATGAATACAAAGTTAATTTTTCTTATTCTTTATTTTTTTAAAATATTTTACATAAATACTAGTAGTAACTAATATTATTTTATTTATAAATTATCTTCATTAGGTTTTATTATGTCATATTTTTTAGACCTTATTATATTCTTATTTGTCATATATCAAATATTATCTTAATAAAATAATTGTATTTTAAAGGATTAAAAAGAATTAATAATTTAAATTTGTATTACTTTGAATTAATTAAATAAGAATTAACTTATTAAATATTTTCTTTTAAACTATATATTTCATATTTTTAATCTTAAAAAGAAATTAACTTATATATATAATATAGTATTATAATAATAATAATAAAAATAATATATTCAAATATTTGAATATAAGTATTATTATTATTATTATTATTATATAAGTATACTACCTCTATATAAAGAAAAAATAATTCGATATTTTTTTATATACATATTTTAATATAAATATAATAAGTTAAAATATATATTTAATTAATAATAATTATAAATATTTATTTATATAAAAAATATAAAAATGGTAAAATTAATTTATTATAAATATAATTATTTTTTTTAAATAATGTAGTTCGGGGACTGGATGGAAACAGGAAACCCGAAACTCAATGGGAATATGGACTTAATTTCTATCATCAGCGAAGATCGAGGGTAGGGACAGAGATGGTTAAAAAGGTCGGAGATAAAGATGGGGATGCAAAATCTGTCCCATTGTCATGCCTATTTACATTTACCAGGTTATTACAATGTTAGTTCTTCGTTTAATGTGAATGATATATTATTCCTTTCGATGACTACAAATTTGTGGGCAAAAATTCTTTAAGAATGTAGTGATGGATCTTGATCATTGATTTTGGAGGATCAAGTAATATATTATTAATAAATAATAAATAAATATAAAATGAAGAAAGAAGATGAAAAGGTGAAAAAATAAAATTGTAAATATATACTTAAATATATTAAATTATCATTAAGTTTGAGGAGACAAAATCATAAATTATATGAGAGTTACAAAACTTAGGAAGGGTGAGATGATAAAATTGTAAATATACAAGTAAATATATTAAATGTTCATTAAGTTTGGGGAACCAAAATCATCAATTACATGAGAGTTACAAAACTTTGGGGGTCATCGCCCTCTCAACTCCCAAAAAAATCTGCCAAGTAAGAATGGGAGAACAACGAGTATGACTAAACAAATGTTCAAAAATATATTATTAAAAGAAAATTAAATAGGAATATGACATGAAACAATATTCTTGCTCACCAAAATATTTCTTTATTTTTTATTTGTTTGACTCATAACTTCATAATTAGTATATTTTTATTTCTTTATAATTTGGTCTCTATTTATCAATGTAAAATAAGATGGTATTGGGTGTTAATGAAAGACTTTGTCAAAGCTCCATCGAAGATGAAAATATTGGTAAATACAAGGGAATAGGAGATTCAAGAAGTAAGGAAAGCATGTGCCTCAAAGAAAGAAGATTCTAAATCCAACAAAAGTTCATGGATAATTGGCGACATATTTTTAATGGTGTTATACTATCAACATTTCTTATTTGAAAAAATATTACCAAGTTTTACATCAATTATTTCTTAAAGAGAAATTCGAAATTAACTTTTTTTTTTTATAAATTAGAATTAGTTTATGAATTCATTAATTTATAAAAAGTTTCCTATCTAACTTTTTTAAAAATTTATTTTTGAATTATATATGATTTGATTTTGATTCGTAGAGAAGTTTATTTAGTTATTTTTCTTAATTATCCTTGAAGGTTTTATGGTAAAGTTTGTCCAAACAAGTCATTAACACAAATTATTTATTTTTGTATTTAAATACATTTTCCAAACAATTTAGTAAATATTGATATAAAAGGTGGAGAAAAATAATATATATATATATATATATATATATATATATATATATATATATATATATATATAGTTTTTAGAGATAAACTATCAAGATAAAACATTCTAATTTAACTTACATATGTTTTGTCGAAATTGATAAAATCATTTATTTTAAATAAGTTTAGTCACGAAGGTATGATCCTCTTTTTTATAAAAAGTAATTATAAATCATTAGACATATTTAAGACGCATGTTTCAAATAAAAACCACATAAAGTACTAAGTTGTGATGTCTTATTTAGCACCTAAAAATCTCCATCGAAGAAATATTCTGTATATTTTGGTTGCAAATTTCTAAACTAATTTTTTAGCCCAACAATATTTTTGCTGACCAAAATATTTTTTCATTGACCAAAATATTTTTTTCATTGTCTATTTGTTAGACTCATAATTAGTATATTTTAATTTCTTTTACCATTTCTTTTCTAATTTGGGATTTGTTTGGAATAAAAAAATAGGATGAAATTGGATTTTAATAAAAGACTAAGTTGAAACCAAATGAGGATGAAAATCTAGACCAACATAATAGAAGAGGTAGATTTAATAAGAAAGGAAAGCATCCATCTTTATTTAGAAGAAAATTTTAGATCAAAAATTGACTGTGATCAAACATAATGAAGAAAAAACAAATATTATGACAAATATTCTTTTAATAAGATATATCTTATTTAGTAATATTGAAACAAAATTTATTAGATTGGATCATGTAAGAAAGTAGTATAAAGATAATAGTGATTTTTAAAATTTTTTATGAATGTTTCAATGGATTAAATAAAGGTTGTTTTAACATAAGAGGGATATATTTTATGGATAAAAGATTTTGTGTGTATCAAGAGTATTCTTGAGAGAAACACACATAAAAAAAAGCAAATGAAGGAAGCTTCATGGGAGGTATTACGACTTTGAAAACCTTAGAAGTATGGTATAAGCAATTTTTTTTGTCACCTATGAGAAAAAATATTCAAGTTTTATGTTAAAAGTGCATAACATACAAAAAAAAAAGGTGATGTTTAAGATTATACTTCTCTTCTTATTCTTGACTTGTTTTGAATAATATTTCAATGAATTTTATATTTGAGATTCTAAGATTAAGAAAAGGGATAAGATTTAATATTTGTGATTGTGAATATTTTTTTCTAGAATTACACATTTTATTTCATACCTAAGGATTGAAGATACTTATCATATTGCAAATATTTTTTTAACGAAGTTGATAAATCATATAGATTTTGTATTTAATAAAAATTTAAAGTTTTTGAGTTACTTTTAGTAAATCCTATAGAATTAACTTTGAATTAAACTTCTTTTTCTTCAAATATTTATCATCTTCAAACTAATGGTTAAAGAAAAGTGGTTAATATTTTTTTTAATTATTAAAAATGCATCATATTTAAGAATTCAAAAGAGTGAGAAGATATTTTATCTCATGTTGAATTTATATACAATAGAATAGTTAAAACCACAACTTCTCATTCTTCTTTGAGATTGTTTATGAATTCAATCCATTAATTCCTCTTGATATTATATTTCTTCCTAACTTTGACTCTATAATATGAAATGATGGTTTAGAAAAAACACAATTTATAAAATATTTGCACACTAAAGTCAAGAAGGTTAATAATATGTCAAGTATGTTAAAGGAAGAAAGTTTTTTTTTAGCCTAAATAATATATTTGACTTTAATGGGAGAAAAGAAATACTTACCAAACAAACAACAATATAGTTAGATCTATTACAATATTACAATGTTAATTATTTATATTTAATGTAAGTAATCTTACTTCTTATGATTATGTATCACAAATTTATGGACAAATATTTTGTAAGAATGAGAAAATGATAAGTGCATGAATAATAAAAGAAAAGATCAAGAAAATTGAGAAGGATACCATAAGTGACAATATTAATTCTAACCACAAATTTTTTTTTACTCATAATTAGTATATTTCAATTTATTTTATTTATTTATAATCTGACATTCGTTTATTATTGTAAAATAAGATGATATTGAGTTTTAACTAAAGACTCAAGTCAAAAGCTCAAACAAGATGAAAATCTTGGTCAATTCAATAAAAGAGGGAGATTTAAGAAATAAGAAAAGTATGTGAAAAAAAATTGAAATAAGTATAATTCACACTTAAAATGCTCATGAATTTTCAGAAGAAAATTCTAAAGTTGGATTTAAATTTTAAATTTATTTTCATTTTTATCATATACTTTTAAAATAATGCTATTTAGTTGGATGAGATTCGGAAATTTGATTTTGAAATCTTAGGATTGAAATTGTGAAATTACTTCTATTTTTGTAGTCTTCTTTATTTTTCTTTATTTCCTTATTTTTCTATTTATATTAATTATGTCACACTTTATATTTTATTTCCATTAAGTCATAGATATTTTTATCAATTTAATATTTTATTCTTAGTTTTTTATTTTATTTATAATATTTAATTCAAGTCATTTATGGATTCATTTCCTATTTTGGCAATGACAATATTCTATGATATAATTTTCTTGCTATTATATACTTCTATGTTGTTTAAGCTTTCCATGTCTATATTATATAAAGATAATATTTAATTAAAACTTAAATTTCTTTAATTTATTATGTAGAAAGCATATAAAGTTTATAGTTGATGATAGAAAAATGTCATTTTAAAAATTGAAACTATCAACTGAATGGGTGTAATATTTTTTATTTTATTATATATTTTGTAAAAATTTTAATTATTGATTATGAAGTCTTAATTTTTATGTATTATATTTTGTTAATATATACAAATTTCTAAAAATAAAATTTTTAATTTTTTATCATTTTAAAGTTAATTATTTTAATTTTAAATGAACTAATTCATTTAATCTATTAATGCATCTACAACAGACCCATATTTTCAAGTAGTTGAATCCTACCATTTTATACGATGGTTGAAATGGATCAAACTTTTTTTTTTACTTTTAATTATTTTAAATATTTAGAAGAAAAAAAAAGTATTTTTACACCTGGAATGAAAAATTAAATGAAGTTCACGTTAGCGTGAGGTCTTCATGCTTTGAAAATTAAATGATTTCTCAGCACTCCCTCCGTCACTCACTCACCTCAAAACCCCCCATTCCCAACCCAAACTTCATCCGTCGATGCTCACTGCATGGCTCTTCCGTCCGAGCCTCATCGCCGTTGCCGCCACCCCAACAACCACATCGCCTCATTCCTCCAATCCACTGCCTCCAACTTTGCCTCTCTCTTCAACCCCCCAAACCCTCCCTCTCTGACGCTCCCGCACCCACCCTCTTCACTTTCTCTCCCTCTCTTCTTTGCGCCGCCGCTCTCCGCCTCCAACGCCCTCGACACTGCCGCGACCTCCGCCGAGCCAGCGCGCCCCGCAGCGAAATCAGTGCGCGTCGCGCGGCTCGGAGCCAATGGGAAGGGCAGCGGCGGGGGGCCCGCCTTCGTTGGGCAGGTGTTCAGCATGTGCGACCTCTCCGGGACGGGCCTCATGGCCGTTTCCACGCATTTCGACATTCCATTCATTTCGAAAAGGTTCGTCCCTCTTCTGACGGATTGGAATTTTAGTATTATTTTGAATTAGTTTGAGAAGGTAGGGATTGTTAGTTCCTGAAAGTAAGAGTACGGGAGTTTTTTTTTTTTTTTTTTAAATTCGTTTTGTGTTTTTCCTTTTGAATTTGAATTAGGAGAATGGCATCTTTCATTTTGTTTGCAGCAGGAGAAATATAAATGTTCAGTCCGTTTTGGGATGGATTTGAGTTGTAGCAACTAGGAAAAGAGAAACAAGTGATGTGATGAGAGTGGATGAGAGGTGGGAAGAAAATGAAGTGGAATTAGATGGAAGAGAAAGTGATTATATGAATACATTAGTCGATACAAAATAATGAAACATTTGAAAACAAAAAATAAAGTGAATAGAAAGTTCCATTTTTATAATCAAAGATGAAACAAAGAATGAAACTAGAGAGCTTTTCTCAAATCAAAATTGCCGAGGACGTATATAAATATTTGGAAGAATTTAATTAAGCTTATTTTATGACGTGTATTTGTGGAAGTGTTTGAGAAGGCTAATGGAAATAAAATTTTATGCGCATAAGCTTATTCAATAAGCTCTCTAGATGCGTGGTTGGATTTGCGTGTGTCAAGTTTGAAGCTTAGTAGTTATACGTAAGTGTTTATATGATACATACTTAATAAGAATGTAATTAAGTATGTAGCCATACACACAACCATATCTTAAGTGGTGCTTCAGTTTGGTTGCACTTAGTGATCTCGTTATTAGAGTGAGATGCTAAGAGCAAATGCTTGTGAGATAATCTCTTACTGGTGTAGCAAACATGGGGCATCTTGCTTAGGCTTTGAAGTAACTTAGGAGTTTTTTATTATAGATTGGTGATGGTTGGAGATCCCATATCGATTAGAGATATGATTAACTTATAATATATAATTGAGATACAAACCTTACCTTACAAGTAAGTTTTGTAGGGTTGAGTTAGACACTTCTCCATTTTTAATATAATATCAAAGTCAACTCTAATGATGTTGGGATATTATCTATAAATGATTGTTGGAATGAACCACCCGTTATTGGACCACCCATATCCTTAATGTGTTGAGATCCTCTTTGGTCTGAGGGGTGTGATGAAATCCCCTTGATGTGAGGGGTGTGATGAAATCCTCCTTCATGTAAAGGGTGTGATGAAATTCCACGTCGACTAGAGATACAAAATAATTATAGTAAATAGGTGTCTCATCTTATAAGCTAGTTTTGTAGGGTTGAGTTATACACCTCTCGATTTCTAATAGTGGCCATTGAAAGGAATTTAGATCTAAGATAAAGATGCTTGATTGAAATTGTTAGTCATGTAGATTAAGCTTTTACAACTTTATTTTTTTTGAAAACATGTATTTTAACCTATTATCTATCACCTGCAGAACCCCTGAGTGGCTGAAAAAAATATTTGCAGCTATCACCAAGAGTGAGAGGAATGGTCCTGTATTTCGCTTTTTTATTGATCTAGGAGATGCAGGTTAGATATATAAATGTTTCGGTTTTCTCCTTACCCTATATGCTTTTATATTGTAGCTTTACCAATCCATTTCTGTTGTATCATTAGCTTCAAGATTACTTTGATCAATATTCCTATGTAGTTTTTTCTATAAAACGTGATAAAAGTTATGTTTGTGATGGTATATATGGCTAAGTAATTTCGCTAGCCTTGACTAGACTGGCAACTAAAAATAAACTCAAGAATGTAATAAGACTGTGCAATCTATGCAAATCCAAAAAATGGCAACTAAAAGTAAAGCGCCATGTGCTGCACACCAGATAAAAGCCATAAAGCGGTCATGTATACTGCATACTGCCATCAAATCTTATCTTCCTTATTTGTACCATACTTTTGTATGAAACCAACACAAAGTGTTTCTAAGTGAAGGGACTAATAAACAGAGTACAAATAGCTACCCGCTAGAATCCCAAAAGGACTTTTCCATACAAATAGCTACCTGCAATGCAAATTTACTGGTCTACTGTGTCCGATTGTAATCTCATGCTGACTAATATATTCCCCTGAACATATATATATATATATATATATATATATATATATATATATATATATATTGTACTTTTATCCATATTCCATTTTATGTGTTAGCACCCTGCTTGTTTATGAATCTATTCTATTATCATCATTAATTTGGCTAATGTTAATATCTGATCAATAATTACTTTTTCACTTATTACTGACCTTTTTAACGGCATTAGTTTCATATGTCAAAAAGCTGAATATTCCTAGTGGTGTGGTGGGTGCCTGTCGTCTTGACCTAGCATATGAACATTTCAAGGTACTGTTGTCATTTTCAATTAAATGTAGTTGTATTGATTTAAGCATGCGCTTTGGAGGTTCTATGTGATGTAATAATGATGAGGTTGTTTAGAAATAGTGATGCATGCAGATGTATGTTCCTAATTATGGAATTTGATATGTAATGTTCTTTCTTACTTTTTTATATTTGTTTGCTTAACGTTGGACATTACACATAATGCAGGAAAAACCTCACTTGTTCCAGTTTGTTCCAAATGAGAAGCAGGTATTATTAGTTTTTCATTGTTGGATATCTTGTTTTATTTGAATGCCATATGTATTGATAGTAAATACATCCCCTTTAGGTCAAGGCAGCCAATAAACTGCTGAAGACAATATCACATCATGGTGTCAGGAAAAAGGTTGATGGGGTGCCTGTGTTTAGTGCCGAGAACTTGGATATTGCAATTGCAACTACAGATGGGATTAAATGGTGTGTTTCTCAGCTTCCTTGTTTCATGTGAATTATAGTTTTTTTTTTCCTTACAAATTTTTATATTTTTTATTTGAAATTTAATATTCAAACAAATAATTATTTTGTATTTTCAGTGGATGGGTACCTCTCTTTTTTCTTAGAGTAAGTAATTCAACAGGAGTCTGTCTACTTGTTTCTTTTCCAATTGTATGGACAGATTTAATATGATTGCTTCCGGGATTATTTGGTCAGTTTTTCATCCTCAGTAATAGTAAAAATGTTGATTTGAGATATGCTATGTGTTAGCTTTTGGGCTTATTCTTGATTAGTTATCCCTGTTATGTTTCATTGATACCTTTTAGATATAAAAAATATGTTTCTACCAAAGCATGGAACTGAATATATTATGCTTACATTATTTCTCTTTGTGCTATCAGGTATACTCCCTACTTCTTTGATAAAAACATGCTTGACAATATTCTTGAAGAAGCTGTTGATCAACATTTCCATACCTTAATCCAAACTCGGCAAATGCAGCGGCGGCGAGATGTGGTTGATGACAACTTGGCTGCAGAAGTGATTGAGGAAATGGGAGATAATTTAGGGGAGCCACCAGAGGTATTATCAAACTCAAGAACATATTATTGTTTAATGAATTACCTGGCAGAAAGAAACTTTTCTTTTTCTAGTGGTAGTACAAAAGAGTCTCACAATGAAGTTTTGAATATGAATCATTGATGGATGATTTAGGATTCATTTAAAATACAAATAAGCAGGGGTCGAGAATAGGTAGCTATAGTGACTTTGCGTAGTTTAGTTGCTCTTGGCAGCAGGCCTTTGTAGTGCCAAAGTTCACTGGCAGAGTTGAGTAGCTCCTGGCCAAAATGGGCCCGTTCTTAATGGCACCAGTTCAATGCTGTGGCTGTAGCTATCCAAATAGCAGCTGAGTGTTTTTTTTTTTTTTAAATGTGTTGCCTGCTCCTGATTTGGCGTTTTTCTCTCACACATCTCTTTCAGCCTTCTTAGGTGGTATGTTTGTAGCCATATTTGATGGTGTATGAATTTCTGCAGTTTTGGTACCATTGTTTTGCAACTTCTGCCCTTATCTAGGGTTGCAGTAGGTTTTAAAGAGAAAAGAAGATGATTGGAATTCTGTAGGAGGTTGCATCAGAATGGCTGATGTGAAAAAGTGGTTAGGGTTTTTCATATGTAGAGGCGTTGCGCCTGTCCAAGATGAGCCCTTCTATACCCAAAACTGTCTTATAAGAAGCCCTAATAATACTTTAAAAAAATATAGAACAAATTAATACATAAATATGAACCATTATATATATATATATATATATATATATATATATATATAGAGAGAGAGAGAGAGAGAGATAGAAATGTAATGATTAAGTATAGTTAATATAATTATATATATAAAAAGTTATAACAATAATAACCATTAGAATTACACAAGCATTGCAAATAAGTGATATGATATATGATATTAATGAAGTGATTTAGAGAATCACAAGAAAGGGGCTTGACTTGTTGCTATTGAAAATTCCAATCTTAATTTTTTTTTTCTTTTTACTTTATTCAAATGCAAATTTGATCTTCAGAATGGTACTCAAAATCAAAAGATGATATGTCCAGCAGGTAATATCAGAAGAACCAGACAGTCTGATTCTTTTGATGTGATAAATTAATCTTTGATGGTTAAAACTCTGTAAAAGATACGTTTTATGTTACAAATGGATAAAATACAAAGAATGAAGCTAATATACAATGAATAAAGTCTTCAAAGTTACACAGAAAGTGAATATGAAATACTGTGTTGTTTGAAAAAAAAGAGGTTGTTAAACTTAAAACAGTTTTCCTCAAATCTTTTAAGTCAGCAAAACAACTTCAGAAGATATATAATAATTTGATAGTTTATTTGAGCATAAGTTTAGTAGAGTTTTGTTCAGCAGCTTATGAGAATGAACATGGTAATATGTCAGTGTGAAATATGCTGCACAAGATTTTGTCCCAGTTCTCCTCCAGAAATGCTAGGGGCTATATTTGCATTGAGTTTTCTGATACATGATCCGCTGATGCTAGAGACAATGTTTTATATTTATGTTTTTCATCATTACAGATATCAGGATCATATCTTTATCGTATCTGTATAATTATAAATCAATATAATATCTGATTATTCGATGATTATATCTCTATTATTAGAGAATATTAAATTTCTTCTATATTCATTCTATTGATTTCTTTTTCTCAATATTAATAAATCACCCTTGCTGTCACTGAAACAGTCGGTGTCAGCTAAATGCTTCTCTTTTTCTTTATAGTTTAACAATTTAAAATCCTGTCTTGGTGACTCTTTTATCCAGACTTGAAATCCTGTCTTTTTCAATTCATTCAAGCAAAAGCTATCAGTAAGACAAGTTTAAAAATACTTCAAATTCAATTTAGAAGGCCTATCAAATCAAAATGCTATTCAAGATGGTCTTAAACTCAACAATTAAAGGTACCCGATATGATCTGTCTATATTTAATAGAAAGGTTGGCCTGAGATAACTCATGTAACTTGTTCCTGAAAATAAAAAAAAGTTTTGTTGTATGTTTCATTCATTATATATGTTTAAAAGGGATGAGCTAGAGTTATACATATCATTAATATCTAGTTCTGTTTCTGTCAAAAAGTTGGTTAATTATTGTTGATTTTCCTGATAGGTTCAGGAATTGCTTGACGAAATGGGTCATCCTAGTATACCACTAAGTGTTATTTCAAAAGCTGCAGAACTCCAGTTTCAGTATACTGTTGACAAAGTATTTCTGGGCAATAGGTGGTTGCGGAAAGCAACAGGCATACAACCAAAATTTCCATATATGGTTGACTCGTTTGAGAGAAGGTATATTTCATATTGTTTTCAAGCCTTTGAAATTGAGATGTTCAACTGATGGCGTTTCTCTTGTCTTTTAGTGGTTTCCTAGTAGTGGGGTTTCATGCTTTCAGAAAAAGTTATCAGCAAATCTTGCCCATGAATAAATAATATTTATACTAATTTGGATAACTTTGGTTGGATATGTAATTAATTAATCTTACGTTAGTGTCCATGTTTGTGCTGTGCATTGACACTTGTTTTTCAGCTTCTGCTTCACGTTTTTCTCTCAACAGTTCGAATTCACTTGATTATTTCACCTGTAGAAATGGGGTAATTTGATTCAGATTTTTTAAACTTATATCATTGGGTTGTTAGGCTCTTCATCTAAATAGAGGCTTTTTTGTCTCAAACACAAAGCATGACCTTCTGTCACTGCTTGAAGAAGCCTTTGTTAGTTATTAGTTCTTACTGTAGAAATGCAGAATGGGCAGGATCAGAGAGATTTAAAATTGGATGTCTGTCATCAGTCATCCCCCGTTCTCTTCTCTAGAATCTGCCTTTGAAGCTTTAAAATCACCCTATATTTGATACACTCTAGTCTAAGCTCGCTTTAAGGAAGTTTTGTTGTTCTAAAAGTAATTCGAAGTATTCCGTTTCTCATATCAAATGAGCATTCATATATTTTCTCTCACTTTAACTACTCAAATTGAACATGTTTACATCCCCCAGCACTAGTAATTTAGTCCAGTTTTTTATTTACTGCAAATTTTTGAAAGAGTTTATTTGATTGGTCATTGATAGATTTTGTTATTAATAGTGGAAAGTGGATTACTAATTCATAGAGTGAAGCTCTTATTACTAGGAAAAAACTGTTAAATTAGGAACTACATTTCGGAAAGGAACAATGATGGAGAAGGTAGATGATCAGAGCTGCCAATAACATATTCTACCCCTTGCCTTAAAAGCTTACCCAAATGATTCTTTAACAACTGTCATCATTCATGTTTCTTCCTCTTGTCCTCGTTGTTGCGCAATTGCCTTCTCCAATTTCATGTTGACATTTGTACATATGTTACATTTGCCTCTTTATCTCTCATTGCAGAATCCTGTTCCTCCATATAAATTGTATAACCTCGCATGACACAACTCTCTCTCAAGCCCATTTTCCTTCTAACTTTTGTCTCATATACACGACAAGGGACCGTAGTGTCAGCCTGTCATCCGTCTACAATCTAGAAAGGCAGTCTGAATGACCTGAAACAGCTGGACATTGGGGTCTGAGATGAGCTTGGATGTTACATGGGATACCCAACCACTATAGACAATATTGTCCAGCCACAACAGGCTGAAAACTGAAAAAGAGGGCCGAACCACGGAAGCTCGGGCACTAACTTGAAAAACAATATTTTATTGATTGGTTTAGAAAGTAACTCATTGTTACATCAGTTTATATACAATAGATTATTATAAACACAGGAATCAAAGATCTCTAATGTAAGGGATTGCAGTAATTAATTACAGTAATAATAATCTCTAGCGTCTAAGGAAATAATTAAAGAATATCAAAAACAGAATCAGCATATTATTAGAAAAATAATCTGCCTAATCAGCCATCGTGTACCCAATGATTTACGCCATTCTTGAGCTTGCAGAATACCAATGTAAGTGGAAGCTACCAATTATCTGTGAAAAAGTGGACAAGAACTCTCAAGCTATTGCTTGCCATTTCGTTAATGATGAGTGTTATCACTCACAAGGTGCTACAGAATTTTTTAAAGTTGGATGTCCAATGATTTCTGACTTTATGTTTGTTATCCTGCAGAAGTGAAGCTTCCTATCTGAGAGCTACCAAGTCAAGCAGCTGCATTGAGAACCCTAATGTGGAAGATGATATGAAAATTTCTGAATGCATAGACTCCTCTAATTGCAGTTTGAATGGTAATACAGAAGCAATCCGACAACCTAGTCTCAGACTACGTCTACCATTTGGTAATTGGTTTCATCACCTGTGGCCAAAACAGTGTCACGAAAAAACAGAATCGTCCAAAAAAGGTGTAAATAAGGAAGATATGAAACCAACCCCCTTTCTTCCAAAAGTTACAATGGTTGGTCTATCTACAGAGGAAGCAGGTCAGATGAGCAAAGCAAATTTAAAGAAGACAATGGAGGATTTGACAAGAGAGTTGGAGAAGACAGAGCTAGATAATATGACAGGTGATGGCTCTAAAGAGTGCACAGTAGAAGATAGGGATCCACTATTTGTGGCTAATGTGGGCGACTACTATTCTAGTTTGGGAAGAGCAGGATCTGGTCGCTGGATTAGAGGAGGATCCAACTAAAACCTTTTTGTCACAGAAATTTTCATTTTCAGGTTATCTATTCTATTAACATGTTACAGTGTTGTTGGAGCTAAAAATAAACCTCATTTGCGGTGAATACTGAAGGTGGATGGATCAACCATGATATTATGTCTTGATCAATGTTGTAAATGATTAATTTTGTCATCATCAGTGATGCCCATTTCCTTTGGGAAGTTAAATAAAACTGTTGTATAAACTTGATCCTGCGGGAGAAAAAAAAAAAAGTGTTATCACTATATTACTGACTATTTATTTTGTCTTGGTTTTCTATACCTGGACAACAATTATAATTCTGCTGCTTGTTACGAAGAAGATTTAGCTTTTCGAATTTCACCCTGAAATTTTCTTAAAACATTTTGTGCACGCCTAATTGTATCCGTGTTCCAATAGGTGGTTAATTTCCAAACCAAATAATAAATTTAGTAAATATACTACACATCCAAAGGTGATATAGTTAGGATATGGTTGGAGAAATTTTTATTACTAGATAAAATATAAAAGGTGTTTTTTTTTTGGTAAATTTAAATTAATTTATGAATGACTAAAAATATTAAGTTCTTGAGAAGTTAATATGAATTTATTTTTACAACTTATATTACAGATCTTCAATTTTATTTGGAGTTATTATTATTATTATTATTATTATTATTATTATTAGTATTAGTATTAGTATTATTATTAGTATTATTATTATTAAAAGTGCTCATGAAGGAGAAATATCGTAAATCATTGATTAATATCTATTAGGTTTCCCATGATTATGTGTTAAATTAATGTTCTAAATTACATTAGAAAATTAATTTGAATGTTGATTATTGTTTTTGCTATCGGTTATAATTTTAAAAACTCAATCTAATAATAGTACAGTGAAAAAGAAAACGTCTTTGGTCTTATTATAAATGTCCTTTTTATACTTACAAATAAAATTTGAGAGATAATGTTTTGTTTGAAAATTGTGTTACAAATTTCTAGTTAGACCCACTTTTGCATTAAATATTTTCAGATGGTTTTGTCTTAATGTGAATTAGGCAAATTATTAATAAATTTAATATTGTTTAATATTTAATTATGAATTAGAAAAAATTGAATTAAAAATGGTTATTTTTCAAACAAAAAAAATTATAAATATTATTAACTTTTATACAAGCAATACAATATACCTACATATTCTAGAATATTTTAAAATATGCAATAATAATAAAAATCTAATTTGAACAAAAGTTAACTTATGAAGTATTCAAAATTTTAAATAAAATTTAATTATACACAGATCCACACAAAAACATCCAAGATCCAACATTATCGGCTGACTTCGAAAATTCGAATCAATTAAACTTTTTGTTTTTGCATGACACATTAAAGTTTAGGGTTTAGGTATTAATATTAAAACATTCACAAATTCAAGTTTGTCTCTTTGACTAACGTCAATAGAGACAATTAGTTATATATTAACCATAGTTATGAGTGGCATATGAATTTGTCAGGTTTCTGACACCAAAAGCTTTGAGAAGACCAAGAATTGGTTGGACATGGAAGTTTGAAGCCTCATCGCTGACTTTATTTTCATGTCATTCTCTATCCATTACAAATACAAAATGTAGGCAATGAGCATTAAACTAAGAGCCTTGTTAGGGCACTCTTACATACAAATTTAACTGTTTCAAATTAAGGATTATGACATTATTTGTTCTTTTATTAAAAATATATTATATATTTAGATTTGGTCTCTAATTAACTCTATTTTTTTTTAATTTAAAGATTATAACTATTTTATTTTAAAAAATTGATTAGTTTTTTAACACATTTTTAAACTTCTTAATCATATATTATCGTGTAGTGAAATGCATTAATTATATTGTTATGAAATACAATATGTATATTTTAATGAAATACATTATCACAAGATCAACGAATAAGAAAAACTTTTGTAAGAAATAATAGTTAACCAATGAAAAAAAGTAATATATAAGAGAAATATATTATTTATTTAATAAAAATATAAAACTAAATTAATTTTCAAATAAAAATTAATTTATATATATATATATATATATATATATATATATAATCTAAAGTTTAATATGAATTCTATAAAATTAAATAGTTAATTAAATATGTAAGATTTTAATCTAATTTAAATTAGATTAAAAATTCAAATTAATTTATTTTAATAGATTTAGATAAAATCGAATATGTGTTAAATTGATATGGATTATCATCCCTATTCTTGTGTAATAATAAAGTAAACTTGTCTCGCAATGTATAATCCAAAAATCTATTGTTGGAAATCTCATACTTAGAGTGTTGACTTTTCATAACTTGGGATGATTTTGAGCTAAAATGAAAAAAAGGACTTCATGCAAACTATAATAAAGAGCATTTGTAACTTCGCAACAATAACAAAATTTAGTCCACACCATTCACATCTTGTATAGAAATTATTGGTATTGTTTATTTAATTGGTGTGACTACACAATAAAACACCAAAAAAAGTTACCAAAATATGAAAAAGAGAAGAATAAACATAATTTTTTTTATCAACGAATTTATTTGTGAATATGTTAATTATCATGATACGATATCATATTTGAATTAACCTTTGTTAATAAATTCATCAAACGTTAATAAATAATAATTCCAATAAAAATTTACCGATGGATATTATTACAACCGTGAATAAATTTATTATAACGGTCGCTAATATCTAAAAATGATTTTAATCAAACAAAATCATCTTATTCACCTTATCTTCTCATTAGTCATGCAAACTCAAAAATCCCTTATTTTTTTTTTTTGTCTTATGGTAAAGAATTTCGTATTAGTCTCTTATACAAGAACATAAAATGCAAATTACATATTAATGCATAAAGATAAAAAATATGAAGATGCTACTTAACCAATTCTAATGCACTTATTCACAATAAATATGAGGTTATTCTTAACACCATGCACAACAACAAATAACTCGGTGTTTAAATTTTGAAAAATCACATAACCACCGACAACAATTATCCAAAGTTAAACCACCAAAGTAGGGTTTATACCATCGATAGGGACTTTCACATATTCATGTTGGGACCAAACTAACTATCACTAACAACAATTGCATGCACAACTTTTGTACAAAGAAGATATGTTACCTATAAATATTTATAAGAGAAAGATAAAAAAGGAAAACTATTTCTTATAAACTTAAATTAATTTATACATAAATTCAAATAATTTTTAATTAAAAAATTAATTAACTTATAAATAAATTAATCTAATTTATAGATTTATTTATTTAAGTACTTATAGAAAAATTTATTGAACTCAAAACTAAATAAGTTCAATTAATGGTTATGTACCTAAGGTATCTCAAATAATTTTAAAAGATAAAAATTAAAATTAACTTCTTCACAAACCGAAATTATAATTCATGGATGAGCTAAAAATCATAATTTAGAAAACTAATAGAAAATTATTTTTACAAATTGATTTATGAATAAATTAATTTTAGTTTGCGAAAAAACTTCCCTTCTTATTTTCTCTTCTAAAAATGTTTATTAAGAAAAAAAATCACAAACATCTTCTATGTTTAAGCTAGCTTTCGTATAAATTATAAATCTAATGTTGAAGATGCTAAATAAGAATGTTTTGATTTTAACTTTGGAAAAAAAAAATTCTCATTTTTGTATGTATTTATGAAGAAGTGAAGAAGTTCATCTAAATATGGATCAAATCACAATATGAATTTTCAAATCCTTTTCTACTCAAGTGGGTTTCGTCACAAGAGATGATGACGATGAAAATAAAGTTAGAAAGATCCAGATTTTGTAGGCTATTCCATTGGCAAGCCAACCAAATTCAAATGGAATGAAGAACTATCCTTCAAATATCTCATTCTTCTACAACAAAAGGAACCATGGATTTGGACCCCTCCACCAATTAAGAGCATGAATTAAAGGGTTTGCATCAAACAAAGACAATGGTGGTCCCATAAATTTACACATATTTAGCTTCCTTGAGGTACCAACTATATATGCTTTCATGTTCTTTGTTATATTTTCTTAATCATTACTATTGTCAATGAAGAACTTTCTGCATGTCCCTTAATAATAAAAAAAGTTTCATAAATTCTTCTCACAATCCATCATATATTCTTATGGTGCTATATCTTTCTAGTAACATCCATATATTGAGGGAGGAATTTTGCTCTTTCTTTCCCGATAACTTTTCTTGGAAAAAAATAATATCTTGGTTGGCATTTGGAAACCCTAGTCATGCACACTTTTCGTGAGAAAAATCACATTGGTTTTTAAAAAATATGAACTTCTCTTTAAGATATATATTTGATTGAGAACACATAGTTTTTAACCCTTCTTTATTAATTGTACATTATGATAAATCTTAGCGATTAATTTTGAGAAAATCAAATAATATATTATCAAAAAAATATATATATAATAACATAAAAGATCAAATTTATAAATATACAATTATAATTATATTTAATAATTAAAAGCTCAAAATTATAAATATTAATATAAGTTATAAAATTTTTAAAATAATATTTAATTTTATAAGGATTAAAATCATAAATGTTAACGTAAGTTATAAAATTTTGGTTAATTATTTTCTAATTTTATTATATTTTAAATTTTAGATTCTAGTTTTTTTTTCTGTTTTTTATCTTGTGCTATCATGCTTTATATATTTATTATATAATTATTTTATCATATTTTAGTAAAGAAAATAATATAATATATAAATTTATATTTGTAGAAAAAAATGCTAAATAAAATTAATATGAAGTCGTTAAAGAACAATAATTAAGTTTACCTTAGATTTAAACTAATTAAACATCCTAAAGACCATTTTCATCTCCAAACCCTTCTTCTACTAAAATCCTTCTTTTAAATTTTCTCAACATTGATATATCAAAACAAATCACTATTTTAATGATATTTTTTTCATCACCCAAGTAATTATATAGTTTTGTATTACATACTAAAACTATTATTTATGTAATTATGATAATTTATACAAAATTTATAGTTATATTATATTAGCAATTACGTTGAAAACATTTATAGAAAATCGATTTGAATTGAGAGAGATATTAAGAAAAATAAAAAATTCTCGTTATTTTCTTAGATTCATTAACCCAAGCGGAATTTTCATTCATATTTTTGTCGGAGTTTTATGAAATTATTGGATTCCCGAATTTGGAGTACTTTTTTAATGTAATAGAAGTTGTTTCTCTGTTTCTTGATTCTTCTTTTTAAAACCTATCCCCTTTTGTTTCTGGAGGTATATGGTTCTTTCTATTCTCCGCTTGCACTTCTTTATTCTATTCTATATGTGCCATGAGAATGGTTTTGTTCTTTTGTTAAGAGTATATAAGAGTATATAGTGAAAGCACTTAAGTAGTATACAAATAATCTTCACAAATTCAAAGGAAGTTTCTTTTTTATCCTCTCATACTGAAGAACTAGGTTTCATATATGTTATGTTAATAATCTATGCATGGATCTTCAATAAGATGATGACTGATAAAAAAATTTATCTCAATCTACACAAATAGTATAATGTTAAAAGTAAATAAGTGAATTGAAAAACAAGAACAACAATTAAAAACAATAAATTAATGCATGATATGCTAATTTTTTTCAAATGTATATAAAGTTAAATTATATGTATTTACTTATCTATATAAAATAATAAATACGTCACTAGATTTAGTTATATACTTAAAAAGTAATGTAATTATTTTGATTTAATTTTTTCACCACCTTTGATTATATTAATTGATATACTTTTTTTGTTGTTTAGTTATATCAATATTAATAACTATATTATAGCTTATGATAAAGAATTAAAAAAATCATGATATAACAATTTTCTTATGAAGTGAAACAAAATATTTTCGTATCTGTAAAAATTTTAAAACATATTTTAGTCTAATAATGATATTAATAATAAAAATAATGAGATTAAAACTATATTATACAATTTTATCAAAAAGTTCATAACTAATTTGTTTCCTAATTATAAAACATTAATGACATTAAATTTGAAACCAATTTTTTTTTTAGTGTAGTTTTTTTTTTTACTTTGCATCGCTTAATAAAAATGATTGAAACTGTGGGATCTAAGTGGAAATATGCAACATTTTAATTTAAATAGTCATAATAAAAAAAACCTTTAAATTTATATTAGGTCAAATAATCCTTGGTGCTAAGATTAAACATCTTTTTAAGAAAAAAAATCATATTATGAAGAAGGTGAGCATGAAAAGGATTCAAATTAATAATTTGCATTTGAGATAAATTGTTTATCCAGAAGATCCTCTTGGGTGATAAAATTTAATTTCGCAATTTTGTAAACTAGAAGTATCAGTTTTATTAACTGCACCAATCTTTATTAACAAATTGTTTTTCTAAGCAAAACAATTTGTTAAGCGAAAAAATAATAATTAAGGGTAAACTAATTAATTCCTATATGATTAATGAGGTTAGTAAAATATTATTATCAAGTAAAACTCCCAGTGGGGCTGCTAACACCAAATTATAATCGAATTTAGATATTGATTAATATTCTTTTATCAAATAAATATTTTATAATCAAGTTGAAATTTTGTGAACAAGGTGATCACCACCACTAAAGTTGTAAAGACTTTCCCATAAAAATTTTAAAATAAAAAGATAAATAAATTATTTTTTATTAAATAATAATTTACTTTGACCATAATCCAAGACCTAAGTCTCCCACTTTCTTCACCCAACAGCTTACATATAACAATAATTACATATAATAAAAATTACATATATATAATTATATGTATCATTAAAATAACTAATTTTTTTATCTATTTTATATTAATGAATATAAATAAACTGATAAAGTTTTTTTAATTTATATTATGCAACTGCTTTTTTATTTTTTTTTAATTCAGAAAAAAATTATAAGCCCATATAATAACTTTTGTAGTTTGAAAAAAATTATCTATCTATCTATCTATCTATCTATATATATATATATATATATATATATATATATATTAAAAAGAAGTATTAATCTTTTATTTATAGAAATTCAATCGCAACATAATGCATCTTGTAATATTTTGTATTACTTTATATCATTATTATTATATTATATTATATTATATTATTAGGTGCCAACTAGAAGATTATTAAAAGAAAAATAAAATGTATATGAATTCAAACTACTTCCTCTACCTCACAAGTCATTCAAACTGTAACTGTCTGACAATAATACAAAATCATTTTTATCTACTGTAACACATGTTTTACTATAAAATATGAAACCCAGATTATTTAAACACACATTTTTTTATTACACTCAATTCAAAATTAATTTAACTACGCAAAGATTTCTTTCAAATAATATTATATTTTATGTAAAACTAATACGATAAAATTTATGTTTATACCAATGCATGTTTAAATATGTTTAAGTTTTTCTTTTGATTTCTAAAAGAGTCATATATAGAATTATTTATTGATTGATTATTTAAAGTGGGTTATAAAGTATAATTTTAATAAATTTATGTTTGCTCTTGAAACTCTTTTACTCTCTTAATCTTCTGAAATGTTTTTAAATTTGTTTTCTCCAAAGTTTTTCATTTTTCTGTCTCTGAAAGTTTTGCATGGTATGTTTTTTCATAAATCAATGACATGTCAAGTCAACGTAATCATTGAATCGCAAGATAGAAGGCAAAAATAAAAATATCAGGAATTAAAACAATTATCTTATTAAAACTAAAAGAAAAATATAAACATATCTGGGGGTTTTTTTAATTCTTTATGTTAATTAGATGAAGTAAATTAAAAAGCTTAACAGACAGACATCATAGAGAGGAGAGATTAGAATAGAGTGACCACGTTTGGAGGGCAAACCATGCAGAAGAAACATGGCGGTGACAGTGTACTTAGTGACATACTCACTACGGATTCAACTAAAAATATTTCAACTTAACTCGATTCACTTTTTAACAAGTCAGGAAATTTACAATTACTGATTTTTTTTCTTTTTATTTTTAAATTATATAAAATTTTAAATGTAAAAACTTATGTTTTCTTTTTTTTTAATTAGATTTTTCATTAATAATAAAATCATCACTAATATAATTTATATGGAAACTTTGATTTTTTATTAATAATAAAATCATCACTAATCTAGTTTATATTGACATTTTGATTTATTATTTTAGATTTCATTATGTAAATTAATTTAAAAAAAAATCAAAAATTCATATATTAAAAAGATATACTTATAAATCAATAACAAACAATAAATAATATATAGATGTTATAATTTTTAAATAAAGATTTATCAATCCAATAATTTAGGTTATAAAATAAATTCTTATTTTTGAAAACAATAAAATAGCTATAGTAGTGTAGTGGTACGATAAACATATATTAAGACAAGTGACTCAAGTACAACGTATTGGTGTAATAAATAATTAATAACAAATTTAAGTGAAGATTTGACATATGACGACAACCAACAATATAAAATAGAGGTAAGATAGAATAACCTCAATTAAGGTTACTAAAGTATTATAATAATTTTTAAAATTTAAAATAATTAATTAATTAAGATTAGTATATTATTATAATTATTTTTAAAATTTAAAATTAATAATAAATTGCAAATCAATCTATCATAACCTAACTAGAATCTATTTTACTGATGAGTTAAAATTTATTTTTAATCTATAATCAATAAAAAAAAATAAAAATCAAATCTAACCCGATTTAAACATGTAGTGAGCCGTTTACTGAGGGTGAGAACTAATATTCATATCCCTCCTTGCCGTAGTGTCTGTTTTTCTTGGCTCTGTAATTTTCACTCCTCTCCATTACTTTCACACACCAATCACAATTCGAGTAAAGTGAAAACAACAACATGCGTAGTGGGAACTAACGTAGGCATCTAACCATCGAAGAATCGGAATCATCCTCCTTACGTTGTTCCCACCTTAGGTTGGGTCCCCCTTTGACATTGTACCAAAGTCAATCAAAAAACCAAGAAAAACAAAAAAATATCCCTAAAATAAACTCCTAAATCCATGAGGCAATTAAATATGCAGTGACAAAAAGTCTCATTTCATATCTACTATTCATCTTTATCTTCTTTCCTTAAAGAATGCATTTTTCTTACAATTACTCAACTGGATCAGTGCTCCACCACAACATACTCTCTCTATCTCTCTCTCTTCTCTTTATCAAGAATTTTGTTCATCCAAAAGGTCAGCCCCAATCTTTCTACCTCCAATTTCACCTTTGCTCTCTATCATCAATTGGGCACAACAGAAACTGAAGCACCAAGCACAACTGAGATTTTTTTTTCTGTTAGAATTTCTAGGCATATCGACCTACCAATTCTTCTATCAAAAATGACTCATGAGGATTGGGATCTCTTTGCCATAGTTAGAAGTTGTAAAGCTGCCACCTTTACTGCAACCACAAACACAGAAACCCCACCCACCACCACCACTCCTAGATCCCCAAACACTGACTCTTGCTTGGATGTGAGCCAAGAACATGGCTCATTCTCTTTTCCCAATCTTGTGCAACCAACAACCAATGAGTTTCAAGAACTTCACCAGTTGCTAATAAACTTCAACCCCACCACTACCACCATTTCTAGCACTATCTCTAGTGGTATTGGCATCAATCCCAATTCCACTTTTTCTGACGTTGCGGGATTCATTGGACAACAGCAGATACCACAAGGTCATCACCATCATCTAGTTCCTGCTCCGACAAATCACACCTCCATTGGAGCATCCTCCGCTACTGGTTTTGACAGATTCCAACACCATCACCGTCACCACCAACATCAACCCCTAACCCCAGAACAACAGCAACAAAAGCAAAACCAACCACACCTTCACGCACCCCAAACAAGTCCCACCCTTTCACCAACCACACAACCACAAACACACAGATCGAGAAAGAGGTAAATATAATTTCAATTCCCATTAACAAACATTCATTACTCAATCTCATTACATAAACGAAAAAAACTCAAACTTCTTTCCCATTCACAAAAACCCCATAAGATATACCCACCACATCGTACATCAATTTCCATTTTTTTTTCCACAGAAAAAACCACCAGAAGAAAATGGTGTGCCATGTAACCGCAGACAACCTCTCAGCAGACTTATGGGCATGGCGAAAATATGGACAAAAACCAATCAAAGGCTCTCCATATCCAAGGTAAACAAATAACCAAACACATACATATACATATGCAAAGCATTCTCTCATCTAACATGGTCACAACATTACACTTTGATTCTCACTCTCACCACGAGAAACTCATTCAGCATACTGAAGTGGTTTCATTGTCTCATGGCTTGTTGTGACAAAGAGTCTAAGAATTTTTATTTCATAGGAACTATTACAGATGTAGTAGCTGCAAAGGCTGTGCTGCGAGAAAGCAAGTGGAGAGAAGCACCACCGAACCCAACACGTTCATCGTGACCTACACCGGCGACCACAAACACGCCAAACCCGTTCACCGGAACTCCCTCGCCGGAAGCACCAGAACCAAGCCATCCCCGACCCGTTTACCCGAAACCCATGAAGCTATCTCTAGTCTCAAAATAGAAAACGCCCGTTCATCGACTTCTGAGCTTTCTTTCACGTCGTTAAAGTCCGGCTTGCCGGAAAACGAGGAAACGGTCGCCGCCGGCGAATCCGATTGCGTGGAGATGGAAACTGACCCTGATGCAATCTCCGAAAACGACGACGACGACGTTTTGATACCCAACACGGGTGCCATGTCGGACGCTGTTCTCTTGGGGTTAACCAATAATGAGTTGAAAACAAACGGGTTGGATCCGACTAGCGTTTCAAGGTGACCCGGTTAAAAACTGACCCGATTTTTAACCCGGTATAGACTCGGATCAGTTCATGCCCCGCAAAACTCGCCGACCTTCTTGCATATTGTAATAGTCCCATTTTTTTATACAATTATATATAGTTTTTGTTTTAAATGATGTATACTTTTTGTAGACATATAAATATAATTATCTAAAAGATAATTACACATTTTTTTTAGAGTTCATATATCAATTAAAGATGTATATGATTTTATAATTAAATTTTATAAAATCAAATTAGATTTAAAATATTGATACTAAACATTATTCTAAATTTACTGAAAGAAATATTTATTATGTTATTCGTGTATTATAAGTATAATACTATTCGACTTGCCAATATAACGAACGAAAATCTTCCTTTAATTAAATATAAAATTAAATTATAGAATATACAAAAATGAAAATCTTACCATTTAAAGAGAAAGAATTAAACAAGATCTTGATCGTGGTCATCTTTTTACTCTTGTTCTTGAATTATTCAATATGCTGAAATAAAGTACTTTGTGGATGTTTTAGATGCGTTGGACTATTTTAGTTATTTATAACTTAGTTTAGATGCCACATAAATTTTTTTTATGTTTAACGAAATTATTTATTTAAACCAATATAAATAATAAATTTTATTTGTATATTTTTATCTTATTGAAATTGTTATAATCTATTCAAATTATATATTTGAGCTGTAATTATCATGCATGTTGACTTACCTAAAAAAATTGTTGAAGAATAAATTTATATTTTATTCAAAGATCTTATTATGATAATGAACTTTTAAATATGTAATATATTTACATAATTATATATAAAAGAAAATTTTAATTATTAAATAAATATATTATTCTAATGAAACAATAAATTTGTTAACTTTAGAGATTTTATAACAAAATAATTTTTTAAACAAACTTATAAATTAAGTCAAATTTCTTTGCAACGTTAAGTATTTAAAAACCTATAAAATATAAACTGGGTCCGATATTATCGTTTTAATGAAAACTACTTCGAGACCTACGGTATATATAATATCACTTAGGTGTGAGAAAATTTATATTTAAAATATAATTTTAAAAAATACATTTTGATACCAATTTCTTTGTATTGGCACTTACTTTTCAAACATTTATTACATTTTAAAAGTTTGATAACATTTTAAATGTTTTTAAATTTTATAATAAATAAATATACGATAATTCTTTTGTTTCATCTCATATATTATATATATATATATATATATATATATATATATATATATATATATATATATATAACAGTGACCGTAGAAGAATATTACTATTTTAAAAAGAGAAATTTTGTTCACTTGTGATGTCTTGTTGACTATGTCAAGGTTCGAAATTTAGACATCATTATCAACCTGCGGCAAGGATAGCACCAAAACACACCCAATTTATTAAGCATGCAACATTTAAGTTTTTTTTTTTTTTTTTAAGTTTAAGGAAATGCAAATGTAATTTTGATTTTTTTTAATACTCAGAAAGTTATTATTTTTATAAGCCTCGAATTAGAAAGGTGATGTTCCTTTATAAACCTCAATTCGTAATATTTTTTTATGTTATTGTTAGACTAAAATATTTTTAATTATTATCAGTGAGAATATAAACATTTTAAAGATAAAAAATTATTAATGACAGATAACTTTGAAAACAAAATTAAATTTAAGACAAGTTTATTACTCTCTTCATCCCAAATTATCCTCACTTTAATGTTTATTTAGATAACAATAAATATTATATTCTTTTTATTAAATTTTAAAATAAACTCATTCTTTTAATAAGTTTATTACATATACTCTCATCGTGTATCAATAGAATAAATAATTAATTTGAGGACAGACTAGGAAGGAAATAATTACTAATAAATTAAAATAATTTTTTTCTATCCATAGAATTTGAATAGATATTAGAGATTTTACATTATAACATGAGAACATTAGTTTTTTTGGGCCGAATTATAAATACTAAAATTACAGATGGGATAAGTAGATTATTGTTAACTAAATTAATTTTTTTTAATTATAATAAATTTATATATAATAGAGGGAAAAAGTTGCATTAAAGAAAATGTAAGAATTATTAATAGAAGGTTTTAAGATGAATGTTAAATCACAATTTTTTGGAAAACACAAGTGGGGTGTTTCTTGTGTGGACTGAATGTAAAGAAAAGTTTCAGAATCTTCCTTGTTCCTGCTGTGAGATGCCTTTATCACGAGTAACGAACACTGATTTTGTTTTTATTTTATGTATTTAAATGTTTTTCTCTCGTACCTACTAGTAGTTGGCACCGAAGTCAAACCTTTTTTATTCATTGGAGGATGAGCAAGTCAACTATATTATATTGAGTGTTTTCATTATTTCAATTATTGTGCAAATAATGGCCACATTTAACGTGGGAAAAGAAAACATCTATGTTCATGGATTTGGTATTGTTTTGGACAAGTATTTAATTGGGGTTGTGTGTTTTAAGGGAGGTTTGTTTAATGGTCATTGTATGATGTCAAATGGGTGAGGCAAGTGGTTTTAATATAAAACATTGTAATGTGGTCAAATTGTCAAAGTGGTATAAAAGGGTTAAGGAGTGACCTAGGTTGAAGTTTGAAGTGGTCTTAGAAACTCATTTGCTGCCAATTAAATTCAACCGCCTTGTTGGTTTCAACGCTAGATTTAGGATCATAATTAAGTGGAATAAATTTATTTTTTAAATAATATAAAATTAGAGAGTCTCTCTTTACGAAATTATATATTTATATATTTTTAACTACATAACAATAATCATCACATTCAAATATATAAGATTAACGGATAAAATAAATAAATTTTAAATACTTAATAAGAATACACCCAAACTCATATATATATATATATATATATATATATATATATATATATATTTCTTAATTTAAAGTAAAAACAATTATTAATAAACTGATTTTTAATTGTAACTTAACTTGGTTTTTAAATAAGATTTTGAGGTTAAACAATTAATTTTAAAAAAATATATGTTTCTTTAAAATTATAGAAAAAATGTAAACAAAAAAAAATTCTATATATTGATTCTTACGATATCTTTTCAAAATAAATAATTCTCTTGATCATAATAATATGAAAAATGGAGCGATATGACTCACAATTGCACGCATTGAAAATATAATTTTTGTCGCAGAAAGATTGTATATATAAAAAAAGGAAATGATAGTATAAAGTTATATTGAGAATTCCAACAAAATTAGGGTTGCACATGAGTGAGTTTTAAGTAAACACATAATCGAAGTTAATAAAAAAGAATTAAATTGAATGGGATTAGATTAGATTTTCTACAATTTTTTTATTCGATCAAACTTAATCCGATACTAGTTGATTTAGGTGGATTTGTTTTTAATTTATAAATCTAAAATACTTTTTATTATTTTTAGGATATTTAAAAAATAAATATTATATTATTTAATATTTGAATAATTTAATGTTAAAAAATACATATTTAATTAACATTATAAAAAAATGAAACTAAATTAAATTAAATTAGACGGAGGACGTTGTAATGGGCTTCATTTTTACTCTGGATCTGCCGTAAACTAGAATAAAGCCCACATAATGAATATGTTGCACGTGAAACTTCTGAATCTGTCATCGAATATCTAATATCTGAATAAATAAAAAATTATTATTATTAAGATTTTGAAAAATGTAGACTGTGTTGTCATAAAAACTTTTTTCTTCTACATAAATGACTTTGACAAAAGTGTTTATTAAGTTTGAATAAAAACGGGTGAAAATAAAATGACTACTATAACTTAAAATTATAATATTAACACAAAAAGAGAATTAGGTATGTGCAAATAGAGGATAACAATAACTATTTTTCTTTCTCTAACGGCAAAATTAAATGCTTAATAAAGCTTTAAAGGGATTAGTCAATATATATTTACAAGAATTTAATTAGTAAATTAAATATAAGTAAAGATTGTTTAATGGTATATATTCTTAATATGTCACTTACAAAATAATGAAAAATCATGTATTTTTTTGAGATTAATTTATACAAATTAAGATAAATATTATTTTTTATTATTTTCAACCAATTTTTTTATAAATATTTTTTTATTTTAATATTATTTCTTCATTCAAAATTGTTATTTTCTCTAAATATACTCCATAAAAAGATAATTAATATTATATTAAACTTTATGAATAGATATTGATAAATCATTTATTTTTTTCAAAAAAAGCAACAGCTATTTAGTACAGATAACAGTTGTTTAGTACAGAGAGAGTAATTAAAAATTTAAAATCTCATTATACTTAGAATTTGATTTGAAAATTAATATAAAGAGAGTTTTTTATGCACTAAGCATTAATTAATTAATTAATTGTATAGAATTAGATGGTACAAGTTACAAGAAATTTTTAATGAATATTTGGACGGTGAAGATTTGATTAGTAATCAGGCACTTATCTCAGCATGCTTAGTTTGAATTTTATTGGTACTTTAGTTCCTTTTCAATTGTTGTTTTTTTTTAGAAAAAAAATTCTTTGCATTTATTTTTATAAAATTCAAAATTATATGAATTATTCATTATAAATTATACTTCTATTATTTTAATTATATTTATTGAAGAGAAAATAGAAAATAATTGTAAGTGAAAACCAAGTCCTAAATCTTAACTAATCTTATACTAAAAAATATTGATAGATATCTAATACAAATTTGACATGAATATTCATAGTTTAAATTTGATTTACAAATAAATATAAATACAATTGTTTATACAACTTAACAGGTTATATATATATATATATATATATATATATATATATATATATATATAATTAGAATTACTTTAAAAAAAGTTTTGAATAAAGTATATTATTATCAGAATATGTGTTACACATTAAAATAATATTTTGTATTCATAAATTTTTTTTAAACAACTACTCTTAAAACGTCATTGCTAGTTACGGGAAACTCATTAAATACTTTTTAGTCTTGGAGCGCTGAAATATAGCAAAATTTTGACTAGTGAATAAATCAAAATAAATTTGTATTTTATCTTGGAATGTTATTTTTTCCTTTTATATTTAACTTTCTTAGTGTATACACAAAATAAATAAATAAATAAATAAAGTATAATGAGAAGAGTTCGTGTAAATAACACTTTAATTATAAAAAAAATAAACATGATATGATTCATATCATTGCATAAAATTCAAAGCTCATCACATCTAAAAAGCATTACATAAAAATAATACATTTTACATCAATTTTCTTTTTTCTCTCTAAGAAGAACACCAACAGAAGAAAACGGTGTTATGTCATCTAATAATATAGAACCTCTCAACAAATTTGTTGGCGTAGCAAAAATATGGACAAAAACCCATCAAAGGCTTTCCATATCCAAAGGTAAATAAATAACGAAGAAACACTCTCTTGTCACCATGACAATAATATACCATTTTGAATCTCAATCTCAAAATAAGAAATTAAGATTCTTAAAATTTTTGTTTTATATATAATTATATTTTTAAAATATATAAATATAAAATTTTTTATATAATAAAATTTATATTAAAAACCTCAAAGTAAAATTAGGGTTAACCAATTATATAGAAAATAAGTACATATTATTTTCTATTTTATGTTTAACCTTATTTGTACTTGAGGACCGTTTGATAACCTTTTTATATTACTCACACAACCTTAACTAAGGTATGTGAGTTTTGTTGTTGCATCTTTCTGGACTATTGAGTTTTGTTGGTGCATCTTTGGGATTCCTTGATTGTTAATGGGCTTCATTTTCACTCTTGGTCTGTTGTAAACTAGAACAAACCCCACACAATGAATCGCAAGAGAAACTTCTGAATCTGCCATCAAACATATGGTACCTGAATAAAACAAAATTATTATATTAATATTCATTTTTTTAAAAACGTAGACTATTTTGTCATAACAACTTCTATTCTTCTACATGAATTTGATTAGAGTATTAATTAAATTCGAAGAGAAAAAAAAAAGGATCCTAATATGAATTTATTTTCGCAATACAAATGTAAATCTAAGAAAAAAAAATCAATGAAAAACATGAATAAGTAATCCCGTACCTTCCTTGGTATTACAAGCATAGAGAGATAATTTGAAGCATATTTGATCTCACTCTCACTTTTCAAAGGTATATCACAATGGTTCACAAAGACATCATGGATCCTTTTATACTAGTTTTGGTGAGAAATCAATTCATTACTTGATGAATGCATTGAACGTTACTTGGTCATATTCATGTACTTAGCTTAGTTGTCTAATACAAGTTACGAGAAATTCAATAAATAATTAATGAATTTTTTAAGTATTTAACATATTTAAAATATAAAGAAATTACTTTTAACAAAGTGTAACGGACAAAAACAAGTGATTAACTCAAGTGTATAACATAACAACTAAAAGTACTTATGATCCACTATAACTTATATTTTAAAATTGGTTAAAATTTTTAATCTAATATTACCATATATTAAACTAACGATCAAATTTTATCTAATTATTTAATTTTAAATATTAATATATCTACACCAAATAATTAATTAAAAAATATTTTAATAAAAATAAAATATATTTTTAAAATTTAAAATTCATTAATAAAATTAATTTTTATTTAAAATATAGTGATTTATTATATAAATTATGAGAATATATCTATTTAATCTCAAAATAAAGATTAAAAACTTATTTATTATTATTATTATTATTATTATTATTTATTTATTAGTGATTTATTAATTTAAAATAGTAATTAGTTTTAATAATTAAATTATGGAATTAAAGGATTATTAGATATTTATTTTAATATTTTTTTCTTAGAACAAATAATTTTTTTAAAATTAATTTATAATACCTATATTTCTTAATAAAATAATATTTTTTTTATTTTTATTTAAAAAGTTATTGTTATTCTATAAAATTAACTAACCATCAACCTAATTCCACACTGGTGGTTTGATTTATTTTTCAGTCCCCTTTATCAATGTAATTAGGTGTAAGTTATAATTCATTTGAAGTCCCATAAAATCAGTATTTTTTTAATTTAAAAAAAAAGAATATACTTAACAACAAATAATTAATATAACCTTAAACTTTACAAATCTCATATATTTATAAACAAAAATTGTCTATAAAAACATTGAAATAGAAGTATAATTTAAGGTTGAATTAAACTAATCAAGATCAACAATAATTTTTATTATTTTTAATAGATTTATTAATTTATTCTAATATTACCCTTATCTTTTTCTAATAATATCTTTTTATTGTTTGAAAATCCCTATATATTTTGCTGGAATTTGATTTGAAAATTAATGTAAGCATATATGTTAATTAGTCATAAACATATAGTAAGCTCTCTTGTACAAGTAACGAGAAATTCAATAAATATCTGATAATGATCTTGAATAATACTCTAGCGAGAATATTTGTACAATAAATTGAATATAAATTCATATTTTGATACATTGAGTTGAAAAATCTCAATATACTTAGTTGGAATTTGATGTATGAATAAATATAAGTACAACTTTTTATGTACTAAGCGTTAATTAGTCATACAAAGAATGAGTGGTGTAGTGTAAGTTACAAAAACTCAATAAATACTTAGTATTTTGAGTATTCAATTCTTGATGGAGATTTGATTAGTGAATATAGAATATAAGAACACATTTTGATACATTAAGTATTAATTGTCTTCTGTAGGCTTTTATTTTATTTGATTTTTCGTTCAATAATCATCTAAATAAAAATACAAAGTAGAATGTATTTTAGTTTGATTTGAGTCAAACCAATGAATAATTTGCAGTGATGCATGCATGAATCCATTTTTGGGATTTTTATTATTATAAAATTAATTTATAATGAAAAATTAATCAAAAATTTGAAATGAGAGAGAAAGCCAAAATATAAAATTAATTATCAGGTATAATATATATAATATATATTATATCAAATATTCAACATATTTAACATTATTTATTAAATTTAAATTTTGAAAATTTAATTTAATTTTATTATTTATCTTTTTTTCTTAAAAGATTATAATTTTTTTCTAAACATTCTAAAATTTAATGTGAATATTTTTTTTCATATTTTAATATTAAAATAAAGTATTATAAAATATTAAAACAACTAATTAATATAAAAATTATATTGATATTTTATATTTTATATTACAGTGTCGTTATAACAAAGAATAAAAATAATAAAGAAAACAAATATTTTTATTATTTCTTTACTTAAATAAAATTATTGTGAGTATTTTATTTATTTTTAACTTTTTGTCTTTTTTGAACGGAAAATGTCTTAAATATGAAAAAAAAATTATAATTTTTATGTTACAAAGGTGAAAAAAAATAAAAATTAAAGAAAAAATGTTATAAATTTTATGATTTAAGGTTAAAATGTAGAAGAGAAAAATATACAAGCAGATAAATACTAATGAAAAAGATAAAAATTGAAAGAGCAAAATATATAAAAATTTGAAGTAAAAAAGTGAAAAGATGTAAGAAAAATAAAAAAATTTGAACATAAATGAACGAGAGAAAAGATGATATTTATTACTTGAGGTATGGAGGTGTACGAAGATACTATGGAGGTGCAGAAAGAAAGTGTCTTTAGAAACCCACATTTTTGGGCCATTTAGGCCGAGGAGCTACAAGCCCAATCTGAGCCTCTCCATGTCGAACTCACCCACGCACTCATTTCTCCCTGTGGGACTTGCTACAGCATCTTTTTGGGAGACATTGGGGGAGAGTGAGATCGGAAGCGAACATGTTTCTGCGTGCGGTGGCGCGGCCCTTGATGGCGAAGGTGAAGGCTTCGACGGGGATCGTGGGGTTGGAGGTGGTGCCGAACGCGAGGGAGGTACTGATTGGACTCTACAGCAAGACGCTGAAGGAGATCCAGAAGGTCCCAGAAGACGAAGGTTACCGCAAGGCGGTGGAGAGCTTCACGAAGCACCGACTGAGCGTCTGCAAAGAGGAGGAGGACTGGGAAACCATCGAGAAACGGCTTGGTTGTGGCCAGGTCGAGGAACTCATAGAAGAGGCTCAGGATGAGCTCAAGCTCATTTCCTACATGATCGGTATTCTCCATTGTTTCTTCCTTTTTTTTTTTTCAATTTAAACATTAATTTTCTTATTAATTTCGTGTTGTGTCGTTTGATGGATGATCCTGTGTGGGTTGTGAAATTAATTAATCTGGTTACTGTATAATGTGGACTAAACTTTTTTTTATGTTAGCCGTATCGTAGATTTTATTGGAAATTTCGATTTCATTGTGATCCTTGATATTGTATAGAATTGCTACCAAATGCGGTTGCAAATGTGAAAAAATTTTGATTTTATGGCCACAATTGTGGTTGTGGAATGTTTTTTAGGTTTATTTAAAACCTTGGTTTTATGAAGTGACCACTGGCAGATCATCTAGGGATACTGTTGATCGGTGTGACAAGAGACGAGCATGCGAAACCCTTTGGACTTATATTATTTTCACATTAGGATCATCATCATGTCTTAAAACCTTTATGCTGCTTTACAGACTTTCAAATATACTCGTTTAAACCTTTTATAGTATTTGTACTGTATTATGCAATCCTGCTCAAACATTTTATATTTTGAGTCATAGCTATATATGTACAATAAAGATAGTATATTCAAGTTGAAGGTCAGTTAGTTCTCCATCGGTCATATTTATCACCAACTTAAAAATAAGCAATATTCCATTAAGGATGAATATATTTGAATTAGGAACATCAATCCTCAGCAAATTATAGTTTCATATGCACATTTGAAGTTTGAAGTTTTGGTTGACACTCATTCCAATTTTCAAATTGATTATGGTGTTTAGAGTGGATGTATCAAATTATGTGGAGTCAAGTTACATTTACATTTCATCTCTTGATTTGCGTGTCCCATTATGATATATTCTAGGGACACTAGATCCTCTGTTTTCCTGTTACCTATTTATGTGAGTCTTCAGCATTTGTAGTATTGGTAAATGATAATTAACAACCAAATCATTGTCATTCATCATCTGTTGCATTAAACTTATTTTGCTGCCTGTTTGCCTAGTCATGGCTGTAAGTTATAACAGTATTTATTTACTATATAGTGCAGCTCGGTCAATATTTATCTTGATGGTCTTGAATTTCATTTAAGATCTTGCACAAATGAAACTCCTTAGTTTTAAGACATCCAAACTTATGGTCTGTTGCCTACCAATCTTGGTGGTAGTCAGTCTGGATTATTTTTATTTGTATGTCTTGGTGTCACAACTTGGTCTGGAACAGCTTAAGATTTGTAATTTTGGTGCAATTTGTCAAATGTGCATACTGTATATTTTAAAAATGAGGATTTTACCTTCTTTAGGATATTTTGAACTTTTCCTAATCCAGGTTGAGCTTTGTTCACATTATGAATTTGGTAGTTGTTGGCTTTTCTTTTATCACAGATGCAAATGTATTTTACATGTAGAAGTACGAAATTAAGAATTCGTAAGGTTATTAGCTATGAAAGAGACTAAATGAACAATGTATAGAGTTATACGGATCAATTTAATACGTTTTTTCATATAGAGACCAAATTGAGAATTGACAGCATAAATAGGAGATAGAGATTAAATAATACGTTTAACCTATCTATAAAAGGCAATTGTGAAATGCAAAGGTTGGAATGTGTTTGCATGAATTGATGATTAGAAATATGAGTGACATATATTGAATGCATATTTTTTGGAGTGCAGAGTGGGATCCTTGGGGTGTTCCAGATGATTATGAATGTGAGGTGATTGAGAATGATGCACCAGTTCCTAAGCATGTTCCCCTGCACCGACCTCCTCCTCTCCCTACAGAATTTCACAAGACACTGGAGGAACTTTCGTCTCAATCAGGAAAAGATACTCCAACTGCCAGCTGTAGTGAATCACCGTTAAAGGCATGATTTGCACCCACATTAGATATTTGGTTGCTCAATTTCAGTATATTTTTCCTTTCTCTTTATTAAACTATTTGCAGTTTGCATGAAGTAGTATCAGACTTGAAGCAGTTTTTTTGGGGAGAAAGCCTGGGCTCCTAATAACATGAATGATGTGGAATAACAAGTGTTTCTTGTTTCACACTACAAGTAAATATTATGCATGGAATGACTTATTTCACAGATCCATAATTAATATTTTAAACTGATGAAAGGGTTGTGTTTGGATTGCATGACATAAGTTATTAATAGTGCACTATATAGTGGTGCAGAGACAAATTTGAACATTGATGTGGCATAATCGTGAGTTATTTAGTAAATATTATTTAATGTTCATTTAAATATAAAATATGTATTTTATTTAGATTTATACTAAATTATATTATTATTCAAAATAAATCTTTAAATATATTTTAAATTATTTTGAAGTATAATTTTTTTCAAAAATTTAATTAGTTTTTTATTTTGGATAACTTGTGAGAAAATAATAGGTATCTTTCTTTATTATTATTTTTTTTCTCTCTTATGATAGTCAATGCACGACTTTTTTTTTTTTTTTGAAAAAGAGGTAAATTTTCTTTCAATTTTATCAAAATGGATCACTTTTTATACGTAAAGAAGTCATGTTATATAATACAATTTTAGTATAATTTCTTTAGCTAAATTCATATCATGTTATCACGTAGTACGAATTCAATTATAATTTAAATTATAAATATTAGTAAATTTAACTTTAATTATAATTATAATTAAATATTTTAATATATAAATATAATATTTTTTTAATAAAAAATGTAAATTAATGAGTAAAAATTTCTAAAAAAATATTTATATAATTAACAATGTGTTGTTTGTTTATTCTATAATTTGTTTTGATTATAATAGTTGAATCCTTTTTCAGAAAGATTAAAAGAGAGATTTATCTTAATTAAAATAATAATATATTCATAATGCATATATTTAATCCTACTTAAATCATGGATTTTGAAGACAATAATTTATACATGATCTCCATGTGATTTGCATAATAAAATACATTACAAGCACAACTATAATCAAAGTAGAGTCTTCTTGATGAAGCTTATTATTACTTTAATCGATTCTAATATTCAAATTTCAAACAATATACTAGTAATGAAATGAACTCTTTTTTCTATACGCACAGTGAAAAAAAAAAACATAAAACAACCATAAATTCCAAATTATTTCCTTCTCCAAGCATTAGCATGCTCAAATGTTGCTATGCAGATATTATTTCATGTCCCTGCATAAGTAAATAAATACTATTTTAGTTGATAGAGGATCACACTCACTAATATTATTTAAGGACAATAATTATTTAATTAAGATAAAATATATTTTAGAAATAATAATGTATATATATATATATATATATATATATATATATATATATTATTACCGTCAATTTGAAGTCACCTTCGCCACTTTAGCTAAGAGCGCTACTTTGATATGAATATTGTCTGCTAAATTGTTCAAGAACTGGAAATAGGCATGTCGCCATGAACGCTTGAATAAAATTGAGCCAAACACCATCCAGAAGCTTATAACAAATCCAAGTCCCATACTCATAAAAAATTCATTACTAAAAACTGTATCTTCTTCCTCGTCACCTTCAACTTTTGGTTCTTGTGTTCGCCCTCTATCAATACATAATTTCTTAAGTGGTGGTCCACAAAGATCAAGGTTATCTTCATAGCTCGAACTATTGAAACTCTGCAACTGTGTGCCGGTTGGAATTTCTCCTACTAGATGGTTATGTGACAAATCTAGAACACTAAGTCCATAAATTTGAGCAAGACTAGGAGGAATTGAACCAACAAGTTGGTTTCTTGACAAATCAAGAGAATCAAGTGATGCCAACTTTCCAATGTTTGAAGGAATTTTCCCAATCAATTTGTTTCTTGATAAGTTCAATGAAATCAATCCAGATAAATTCTCTATTTCTACAGGAATTTCTTCTGAAAAATAATTGCTTGAGAGATCAATGTTTTTCAAAAGTGATAAACCCTTATTCTCAAACAGTTGTTTTGAACCTTTCCACGTCAAGACGGCATTCAAATAGTATGGCTGATTGCCTACAAAATGACTGTTGTTGTTGAAAACATACACATGATTTTCATTGTATATTGAAGATGTTGTTTGAGCCATTGAAGTAAAGTTCTGTATGCATTTTGGAATTTTCCCAGACAAGTTGTTTAGTGAGAGATCCAAGAGCTGAATGTTTCTTAATTGACAAATCTGTAATGGTAAACTTCCATAGAATCGATTATTTTCCAGACTTAAAATTTGCAATTCCATTTTTGTCCCAATCCAGTCAGGGATGGACCCTGATAATTTGATTTCTGACATATCTAGCATTACTAGCTTTGTGCAATTTCTCAATGAGAAATGGATTCCTCCTACTAAACTGTTGTTTCTCAAAAACAATGCTTGAAGATCAAGAAGCGATCCCATTGAAGTAGGAACCTTTCCTGAAAAGTTATTATGACTCAAATCTAAATAAGCCAATGACTCGAAATTGTTCCAGCAATCTGGAATTTGTCCGGAGAATTGATTATTTGAAAGGTCTAATTGGTACAAAGTTTGAATTGTACCATTTGCACATAAAAAGGAATGAAAGTCCGAGAATTTATTTTTGGATAAATCGAGAGATTGAGAATTCCTTAGAAACAAAGGAATAGAGCCTTCAAATTGATTTGATCCAAGGGATACGAAAAAATGAGGATTATTTTGTGGAAAATTTGGAATTATCCCTTGTAGATTGTTATACGAAATATCCACTCTCATCCATTCTTGCAATTGTAATTTAGCCCAAAACCATTCCGGAACAATGTCCGATATTGTAGCATTTGAAATGTCAATAATATAAAGTTCATTTTGTGTTTGCAACCATTTTGGAAACGTTGGACCCAGATTGCAAGATCTCAATAGTATGTATATCAACTGAAAAGGTGGGACCCAATTTTGAGTAAATGCCAAGGCCAATGAGTTGTCAGATAAGTCCAAATGGATTAACTTGGACATATTAATAAAATGATAGTCACTGAACACACCTTTTAAGAAATTGGATTGCATATCTAGTGCTTCCAGTTGAGGTGGAAATTGAATATCTCTAGGAATCTCTCCATTTAGCTTATTTTCATAAAGATATAATTCTTTTAAAGATGTGAATGTTGAGAGGTCAGGTAGTGTACCATTCATTTGATTCTTCTCTAGATATAATTCTTCCAATGAATATCTAGCACATCCAGACAAGTGATGAATTATCGTCGGAAACTCACAATTGAAGCTATTATTAGCCATGTGAAGTGAGCGTAAAGCACATGCATTCCCGAATGATTTTGGAATTCCACCTTCTAAGGAGTTTGAGTTGATTGACAAAACCTCCAAATTTGATGGTAACCTGACACCTTCAGATATCTTTCCATTCAAATCATTTTTATCAAGAAGCAATGTTTTTAGAGATGAGAATACGGACATGTCAGGTAAATTGCCAGTGATATAATTACCTGTCAAATCCAATTCTTGTAATGAGTGTTTAAGACAACCACTAGACAAATTACCAAGAATGGATGGGAGAGATTCAGTCAAATTGTTTGCAATCAAATTTAAAGAATGTAAGGTGCATATATTGGCGAAGGATTTCATATCCCCACCCTTGAATCTATTGGAGGAGAGGTCAAGGTGTCTAAGCGAATTCATGACCGTGCCAAAATGACCTGATGTGGAACCCTCCAAGAGGTTAAAACTAAGGTCAAGCTCAACAAGGTTGGAAGTGATGTTTGACACCCACTGGAATATCATCGGTGAGGTGAAGGAGTTCTCAGAAAGATGAAGGACCGAGAGAGAAGTAGAAAAATTTAACTTGAAAGGCCTCCATGACAGAATGAAGTGATCGGAAAGGCTACAATCAACTAAACTCAGTTCCCTTAAATTTGGTAGCTTGGCAATCACTCGCAACCAACTATGAGAATGATTAAGATTTGAAATAGACTCCATGTAAAGATGGGTTAAAGAGAAGAGATTTGTTAGCCACTGACCTCCATCGTCAATTTTGAGAGTATCATGATATCCTCCGAGATAGAGCTCTCGTAAGTTTGAAAGGTTCCCAATCTGAGATGGTATATTTCCTTCAAAATTGTACCGAAGATCAGGATACTGCAATTGAGAGAGATTTCCGAGTAGGGAAGGTATGTTTCCTTTCAAAGAATTGCCTACAAGATCGAGATATTGTAATTGGGAGAGATTTCCAAGTTGACGAGGAATTGAACCCTCCAAAAAGTTGACAGCAAGATTTAAGTATTTCAAATGAGAAAGAGACCCAAACTGAGTTGGAATTTTTCCGCCAAAAAAAATTGATGACAGATCAAGGTATCTCAAGTTTCTTAGAGAACCCAAAAACTCTGGGATGTGCCTCTTTGTAAAATAATTGGAACTGAGGTTCAAATACTCTAATTCTCGCAACTCCAACAGGGACTTGTGGATCTCACTCCCGAAATCTTGGGTTTGTCCATGAAGGTGGAGGCTTAGAATATGGGCGGTGAGGTTGCTGCAGCGAATCCCCTCCCATTGGCAACAGTGAGGTTAAGATGAAGGGCAGCCTTGAACTGGAGGAGTGCTTCCCTCTCCTCTGGTATGCATCTTATTTCCTCTTCACCATAAACAACCCGCAACACCAGACACACCATAAACATCATCAACCTGAAACCAGCTGGATATTAGTCATTGATGTTGTGTTTGTTATCATGACAGAAGGCAAAGTGATGGATGAAACAGATATTAGAAATAGTTTGATATTCCTGAGTTTAGCAGTGTCCATAACCCTGTTGTATATAACACCTCATGCATCCATCCATGCTGATAAAACTAATCAAAAGAGCAATAAAAAAAATTACAACGACTTCAAAAATGAAATGAATATTTAACAAAAATAATATTACATTCCTTACTCGTAAAATATTAAAAGAAGTCGTACATCCAAAAAATTAATATAATATTAAATAATATTATTATATTAAAATAATCATTTATACAATGATGTTTAGGTGATAAAGAAACATTTCTTTATTTAAAATTAAACATAAAGAATAAAAGTAAATTATAAGCAGTAATTTGTTTTAGTATAAAATGATAAATATATTATTTAATTGAGTTATGCACTTAAAACAATTTAACTATCTTATCTTTTTCTTTTTTAATTTAAAATCTCCGTCAACCCGTCACATAAATATTAAAATCTAATAATAAAATCGATAGCCAAATATAACATGCATTTAAAAGAAAAACAGAGGATAAGGCTAATGAATATCTAAAATATAAATAAATTTAAATAATTCAATCTTAATATAAAAAAAAACATGGCTTCGTTGAGAAAATATATAAAAATAACCAATACATTCTTTAATCTTGAAAAAAATTATTATAATTATAAATTAAGACTTTGTTCAAGGATAATTATATCCCTCCATTCCTCAATCTTTCGTATTTTTTTTTTGAGGGAAAAAAATTAAATTCATTAAATGTATGATAAGGATTCAGATTTTTTTTAATTTAAAAAATTGAGATTGTGAGGGGAGATAAATAATGCAATCTTATTATCTTGTTCTTGATCTTACTTAATTAATATTAAATATATATATATATATATATATATATATATTTTTTTTTTACTTTACATTCTTTATTTTTTCTTTTACCCACTTTTCACACTTTTATCTTTTTCAATCACTCCATTTTTTATTTTCATTCTAAACTCCTTCACATTTCTTTAATTAATTTATTTTTTTAATTTCTTGAACTAATCTGACAAACACATTTTTTTTACTTTATCTAATTATTCTAGATCAATCTTAATAATACCTAATATTATTTTATTTATATTTTATCTTTATTAAATTTTATCATATATTCCTAGTTTTATTATTTTTAATTATCATATATCAAATTTTATCTTAATAAAATAAATATATTTTGAAGGATTAAAAAATATTATTAGTTAAAATTTTTATTATTTTACATTAATTAAATAAGAATTATTTTAAAAAAATAATAAATATTATTATATTTTTAAAAATAATATAAAAGAGAAATGAGTTAGAATAAGAAAATCCAAAACCTAATAAAAAAAAAAAAGTGAATTTAATTTCTATCCTAAACAAGAATGCATTAAGAAGATGAGATTGGAAACTCGGCATCGTCGGATTATTAAAACTGACTTTTTCTCAGCGGTGGGTCTTCCGATCAAGTTCTCTTCTATCTTTATACTCGACGACCAATATGCATCTGAACCGATGACAATCAAACTCAGATTCGTAGGAATCAGTTTCCATCTATTTTGCGAAAAAAAATCGAGTTAATCAAATTTATTTATTTTTTCTCGTTTTCAGCAGGTTCAGATACAATGGTAATGTAATATCTACACTGTCTCTATTCTCATCTTAATTTTATATTCAAATTTAAACTTTAAAATAAAATATTAACCTAGTTCTATAATTTATTTATTTTTATATCACACTTTAAAATATTAAGCTATTTCTATAAAGTCTTTTTTTTTTTTAAATCACACATAACGTCATTATTTATCTATTTCACACCTTTTTTTCACACAAAGAATTAATTTATTAAATATTTTTTATAAATTATATATTTTATATGTTAACAAACCTTAAAAATAATTAATTGATACATATAATAACTAAATGTTTGAGTATAACTTAAAATATATACTTAATTAATCACAATAATTTAAAAGGTATAAAATTATAATCACATACTTATGTATAAGAAAAAGTCATAAAAAATAATATTGCCATTAATTAATTATAATTATTTTGTTAAAAATCATGGAAGAAGTTCGGAACAAGAGAATGAGGGGTGATGGTGGGGAGGCAAAATTCGTCCTCTTGCGATCCAGCAGCTGCATATTTCTTAGACAGGGGATTTGTGTTGGTAAACTTTCCATATGAAATGTATAACATGAAATCTCAGTCTTCAAACTTAGAATATCTTTAACTTGTTTATTTGGAGAACAAGAAAATTTAGATAAGGATTTTAAATTAAAAGTGAGTTATGAAGTGAGATGCCCATGTATGTATGTATGCATGACTTTGAGAGAAAGAAACAAACGAAAAAGACAGAGAAAAGTATCCCACAATGACATTAGGTTAAACAATGTTCAAATTCTTATCAACTGCCATTGGTCCTTATGCCAGCAAAAATAGGTTAGGAATCACAAGATAATCGCATTACATTAGGTTAAACAATAAACGTTTCCTTCTGCATCAACTTGCAGGAAGAATACATTAAACAAATTTATTATAAATATAATTATTTTTTATAAAATAAAAATAGGAAAAAAAAACGCAAAACTTATTAAGATTTAATTTTCAATTCCAACAAAAATAAAAAATAGGGACAGTAATGATGCCTATTCACGATGTTGTTACACAATTTATTAAAAAGTACACCTTCAAACAATCAATACGTGCATACTAGTTTCCTAAATGTGCCAATTTTGAAAAAAAGAAAGAAAAGAAATACTATTTAGCGAAAAAGATAGCGATTTATATTGAGAACTTTGAAGTAATTAGAATAATATCAACGGAATTAAGGAAAAAAGTTAATGTTATATAAAAATCATAGTAATTGAGACCACGTTTATGAATATTAAAATATATTAAAATACTTATAAAACTTTATAAATAAATAAGTAAATTGAATAATTTTTAAAATTATTCATCAACTCTCCAGATTCTCTATGAAAAATCAGGAGGAATTTAGATCAGGAAGTTATAAAGAGTAAATTTGTCCTAACACAATTTTAAAAGGTTAACGTATTTCCTTTATTTAATGATTTAGGTTATTTTTAAGTTTAAAATTGAGGAGTTAAGTTGAAAAAATTGAAAATATTTAAAATGATTTTTTTTATGATTTATGTGTTGATTTATTTAAACTTACAGTGACATTTGATGATTTATTTAAATTTAAAATATATATATAGATTAGACAAAAACATGTTTAATTTATTAAAAAAACACTTCAAACAAATTGGTTTGATAAAATCGTTATTTGCTATTTTTATTTTAATTAAAAAAAATTATGAAAGTAATAAACAAATGATGATATATTATTTACTATCACATTACACATACGTCTCCGAAGAATGAAAGTTATTTTTTTATCTTTATCAATAATTCTTTTATAATATAATGGTTGAGATAAATTATTATTTTAGACCATTACATCATTATAAAAAATTAAATTAAAAAAAATAAAAATAAAGAACAAGTCTTTTAACTCTTACTTATTTCTACATTAAAATAATAATAACCTTTATGAAATTTTGTTAATATGTAGTATCAAATTATTATTCAATAATTTTTACTTATTTAATATATTCAATGTTATCAATATTTGAAATTTAAAAACCATATTTTATATTTACTAAATTTATTGAAAATTTTTAAGATTATGTAATTTAATTTGTTGTCCAATTTGTGAGGACATTTTTTAGTTTTCGTATAACATTGTGTATTTAGGAGGGGGACACTAACATAAAGGTATTTATAAATGAATCATGATTTAATAAATATAAGATAATATGTTATTATTTTCAACCTAAGATATTAAGGTTATCTTTCTCACTTATTATATTAATTTTCTCATTTTTATCAAATTTGAGACTCAGTTCACACCTCCTCAGCTCCTCAGCTTCAAAAGAGAGACGATTTTAAATTAGTGGTAAATAAATATTTAAGTTTAATTCAATTTTAAGGTTATAAATAGAAAAACTAAACAATTATATTTTATTTTTAAAAATTACTATCTCTCTGAAATTCTAAAGTCTCTAATCTCTCTTTTAAATTCTCTCTAATATCTCTAGGATTTTCCTGGACAAGAAGAAAATTTAGAAAAGGAAAACTCACTTTATTTTAAATTATACCTTAAATTATAAGATTGAAAAGTTGATAGGTTTCGAGTTGTTATGGGAAAATATTTTGATAACACAAAGATACTATTTTGAAATTAACAGTGATGGTGAAGTTTGGATTTGTTTTGAAATGCATGTTTGCAACTTTGACTTTAATTTGATAATAGATTGTACGAGATTTGATTTGTGTAATTCTTTAATGGATTTAGGACGGCCTTAAAAATTGCGTAAAATTTACTCAAAATTAGAGAAAATGTTAGAACATCAATTCTATGCTGCAAATTTATGGAGATTTTGTGTGAATAAAAAAATTTGAATGAAGTGACACCGCATTAGGTTAAACAAACAAACGAAAAAGACTTAGAAAAGAATCCAATCATCTCATTATAGATTAACACAATACACGTTCATTCTACAACTTGTCGGACCAAAACAATAAGACTTAGAATTTGGTCATTGCAATTCGTAAAGCAATAAACCATTAAACTTTTCTTGTTTTGCTACGACTTTTCTGAAGCAAACTTAACAAAAGTAATTTTTTTATATATATTTAATATTGTGATTGTTATTAATTAATGAGTTTTTATGTACAGTGATGATTTATAATTTGTTTATTATAAAAAACTACTTGATTAAAATGTATAAAATCAAATTCATTATTTTTTTCTCTACAGAATTTCTCATATCAAATTGTTTGTTTATGTTTCTGAAATTTTAATTGATAGGGTCTAATGATATCTTAGTGATTTTATAATATTATAATATATAGGTGTGTATAGTTTTTATTTATTTTCTTAAGTTAATTTTATAAAATTAAGTTATGTATCTTTTATTTTCAATGTTAATAATAAATATGTGAAAATAAAAACGTAGGTAAGGATTGTTTCTTGAAATATTTATTGTAATCGTTAAAAGAAAAAAGAAGCA